AACTAATGTTTGTGATATTCAAAAATGTTAATTAGAAAACAGGTATCAGTGTCATTTTTGTGTGTCTGGTAACATAAAGTATAATGTAACAAAAATAAATGTTGTTGGTGAAATAGCTGTATTGTTGCCTGCAAGCCTTCACATTTCTGCATGTAAGATTTGTAGCAGCAACAGTTTGTAGTTTAACAGCCAAAAACACCTAAAACACAATGGATTTATTCAACTGGATGCTTAATTTAAAATGAACTACTCTGCTGCATTTTGGATGCAGTGTTTGTGCTCATGGATTTTTTTGATTTGCCGTTTTTTCATTGCCTTAACAATGCCTATCCATGCGTTTGGAGGCCTAAACTTAATTTTCCCCTTAGTATCACATATACTTTCTGCACTCTCAGCTTTATTAAATGTCTGCCTGTTTTTAATACTATACCCAATGATGAAAGTCAAAACCTATTTTAAAAAAATTTGACATCCGAAACACTGAGGGATCCTCCTGGCAGCAGAATGAGATTGTGACAAGATGAGTGGATGGATGGCACATATTCTTTTTCAACTAATGCTTCAGAATATTATTCAAACGTGACTAGTGTTAAGGTCAGTGGAGCTCCTGGAATGTGCTTCTCTGAAATAAGGGAAATGTTGTAGATCATGGATGACTGGTCAACTGCTTCCACACTGAATTAACTCATGAGTGTTACAGGCGACTTCACTATAACTAAATCAGATCTTCATCATCTTCTGTTCCATGCTTGCATTAGAAATGTTCCATAGCAACAACCGTTCCAGGGCTTCAGTGCCACATATTGTAAATCTGCTGTTTTGATATAAATCAAGCACAGAATTATTAGCACAGAAAGGTCAGGGCATCTCAGTTAGTAGCAAGGATGACACATAGTGATGTGGTCACTTCAAAGCCAAAGCTGTGGTCATGGGTGCATGATGACTGATGCTCAGAAGTGAATGATGACACAAGACCCTCTCAAAAACAGCGTGTCACTGGGACAGCACATCCTCTAGCCAGTCTGTTGCAAATAAGAGGGGGATCTATTTGCTATTTGAATTCCTCCTTAGGCTATCTGTCAAAGTCACCATTTTCTTCCTTCTGCTCCCCTGTGCACTCCACAAGCTGGTGACTGAATTTCAATGATGCGTTAATTATCCAATTTGTTCAAAGCAGTGGCTGTTGAGAAGACCAATGAAAATCTCCTGACTCGTGTATCAAAATTTTCATGAGATGTTTCAGCAGTTGCACAAACTTGCCAAGGTCACCTTTGAAATTACAGTGTAATGTATGCACTTGGCTGTGAAGGACTGATATTCAGCGCTGCTCCACATGATATTTTGATTAACATAAAATTGCAATGCTAGTTTTCCTAAAGCTTCGGACCGGTGATCATCGCAGTAGTTTATTACAGCCAGCTGACATTACTATGGTAACACATGCAGTTCAAAACTGCCTCAAGGCCATTTGTTGTTGTAGGAATGGTCTATTTGTTAAAATCGTGACTTTTATGAGATATCAGATTATTCTCTGTCATTGGTTAGATGAGTAACATCTCCTTCATTGACAACAATCTCAGACTGAGCTTGATATAGACTGTTTATACAAGCATACATACACAAAACTTTGTTATTATCATGGAAATTAAAATGATAAGATATTCATGTGTTTTTATCTATTCCTTCCCAGGTGTCGGACAGGTGTGACTATGTTTTCGTGAATGGCAAAGAGACAAAGGGCAAAGTGAAGATGATGGTGAACTTTACCTACAGCTACCTGAGTGCTCAATTGGAAATGAACGTGTGGATGCCCCAGCTCCCCCTCCAGATTGAGGTGTCTGACACAGAGTTGAGCCAGATCAAAAGCTGGAGGGTACCCATACTAACCTCTAAAAGGTAAGATGCACAAACAAACCATTTGTTTCACACAAAAACTTTACTTAGTTAAGTTCTCAATGGGATTTCTAGAAGCGTACTTCAAAATCCTATCTCTGAAAGGGTTTAGGGTTTTTATTCCATTATATAATGTATTGTAATATCTCAATGTGATCCAATCAAGCGAAGAGACAGGATTGAGTGATTGAAGAATACCAGGTCAAATCATTTGCTGTGTGACAGGTGTTACCTGCATGTGTGTTTCTGTGCTCATGTCCCAGACCTGGCTGGAACAGTGAAGAAGACAGGAAGGGGAAGGGCTGCATGCTGCAGTTCCAGCACGCACTGGTGCGGGTGCTAACTCATTTCGTGGCAGAGCAGGCGGACCCTCGGGATCCCAAGGCCTATTTCCTGGGCTCTGATTGGCAGGTTGATGTCACAAGACTGGTTCGATACTTCATGAAGGTAGAAGACCCTCGAGTGGCAAGGCTGCAGGGTGGAAGAGTGCTGTCGGGACGGGATCTTGGGACCACCACCATCCAGGTAATGATCTGAACTACTGCTTGAATTAACATTTGCCAAAATAGACTGTGACCAATGTCACAACAAGAAGAAATTCAGGCCCTGGATTAGATTAGAAAAGCAGTTGGATTTAGGTTTGATAAGGACATGAATTTCACCTTGAACTGAACTGGAAGATACAGTCCGAGGCACCCCAATTAATTTATTGTATCTGATATTATTCTGTGATAGGTGTTTTCTCCACTCTCTGACACAATTTTGGCTAAGACAACTATCAAGGTTGTGGATGACAAAGTGACCATTACAGAGTTGGGGGTCCAGCTGGTTACAGGCCTCTCCATGACTCTACAGCTCAGTCCAGGAAGCAACAGGGCCATCCTGGCTACCACAACCACACAAGAGGTTCTACAGAGCCCCAAACAGGTAACAGTCTTCATAACTTTAAGCATTTTAAGAACAAACTTTAGATTCAAAACAGTGTAACAATTTCTGCCATTTTCTGCTTTCAGGAAGCTTTGGTCAGTGTCTGGGTGCAGTTCAGTGATGGCAGCCAGACACCTCTGGATATTTATGATCCTGCTTACTACAGAGTGACGGTGACATCCCTGGATCAGGGCGTGGTGTCTGTGCAGGGCACACCTTTGACTGTGGTGGCAGAGGGAGAGGGCGAGGGAGTTCTGATCAGACTAGAAATGTCCATCTGTGAGGCTTGCCAGAAGTCCAAACGCAAAAGCACTGTAGCTGTGGGCAACGGAAGCCTAAGGATCAAGTTTCAGGTAAATAGCGGATGGTCAACCAACAGCAATACCAGCAGCTTCGAAGTTACTGTTAGCAGAAAGGACAACGGCAGTGACTATGGGAATGATGGGGAAGAGGTGGACACTGAGAAGAAGCAGAGGAAGCAATCTCCACCACGCAGCTCAACCTCAGAAAGAGAGGAGAGCGCCATGCAAAAGATTACTACCACCATCAAATCTATAGAACGGACCTTCATAACCAGTGGCAGCCTTGGAGGAGTAGGTAAGACCAGCAATTCAGGAAACCCCAGTAGTCCTACCACGGTGGTAAATGTCAGCATGATGAGCATCCCCAGTGACAGCAGCAAAGGATATGGCTCAGATAACATGAAAGTGGAGGATATGAGCAGTGTTAGCTTTACTAGCACTGTGAAAGCCCCTGGGAACCTGGTAAACTACAACAACTTCCCCACCAAGGTAGAGGAAGTTGAAATTGGTGGTGAAGAAATGTTGGTGAATAGGCCTCTTACAGACTTGGAGATTGGCATGTACGCTCTCTTGGGCGTATTTTGCCTTGCTATCCTGGTGTTCTTAGTAAACTGTATCTCACATGTTGTTAAGTTCAGACACAAGAAGCCTCCCTCTCACAGCCATGAGCCCACAGGGCACAGGCACGACTGGGTATGGCTCGGCACAGACGCTGAGCTGGTGATGAGTGTGCCAGGTAGCCCTGTGCAGCAAGACTCCCAGACTACAACAACCGTGATAGACATTGGGCCTGATAAGACCACCTCTCTATCCAGAAGGCCCAGTTGCTTGGCCTCTGTTACAGACTCTCCCCTCAGTTGCGTAGGCTCCCTCAGGAGCAAACCTATGCACACTGAGTCCCTCCACTCGCCGACGAGCAAGAGAAAGAGAGTCCAGTTCACCACCTTCTCCACACTGGAACGCCAGCATTCGCCACCTCGGGAGAACGGCCATGGCATTCACTGGGTTGGGAAAGAGGACAGTTATGAGGAGGAACCCCAAGTGCCCATCACAGAGCCTGGGGACCAGTTATAATACAGAACCTGATCAGACCTCACATGCACAGTAGACGTGGCTTTGATCACCTCAATGCCTTTGTTAACTCCAACAACTGTGAAGAACATGTGATTTTGGAATTGCCCTCCTCTACATTTCATTACCTATCAAGGCCTTTTACATGTACATGTACTGTATATTATTGTTAATAAGTGGATGCGTGGGGTGATGTTAAAGACGGCTGACCAGATGGAATCTACGCATTATATACACAATGTTTATAGCCACCCAATGTTAATGCTGCATGTGGGATATCTACTCTAATTTTGCACTCACATGCTGGGATATACAGTACAGACACACTGACAAAGTATCTCAAATTACAAACGCCATATATCCAATTTCCGGTTATAATATAGAACTCAGTCTGACAGATATAGATTTCACCAAAACTGTGGCTTTGATCAAACATAATACTGGATGGAATTGGTGTTTTGTATTATGCAATATCCAAGACCATTTTATTTGTAAATTTTATTAATTGATTGATTTTCTTTCATTAAAACACTATGATCTTGACTGTTGCCTTTCAATTGATTTTCTAATATAAGAGGCTTACCAGTTGGTAGCAGTATGTTGGTCATTTACTAATGTCTATATTTTGTGTAATGTTTCACTGTACAGCCTGACATAGTGCAAAACATTTTAGAGAACAATCACATTTCTCTAACCAGCCAAAGCCCCAATGTGTTGCCAAAATCAACCTTTGAAATGGCAAATTACAACAACCTTTTGTGCCCCTTTGCCCTTTAAACAAATTGAGTTTTTGCTAGCCTCTGGGATCTGTACAAACCAACCATTGCGCTTTATTAAAAATGAATGTGGTAGCAAACAGACTGCAGGGGAAAGTAACATTTGAAGCATTTTTAGCAACAGTAGATTAGCTGATCCGGCACCGCATCTGAAAGAAAATCAAGATTTAATGGCACTTCAAGAATTTATGCTGTTTGCAATACAAGCTGTTTGTATTACAAACAGCTTTTTTTTGCCTCACTAGACTGAATAATTTTATAACCATACACTACACAGATCATCACCCAGTTAAAAACAACCCGTGGAGCTGTTTGCCTTTTTATTAAGTAGTTCCCATGACTCTCATACATTTGTACTTGACCATAAATAACAGTACATCATCAATTTCAAATACAGTACATAAAATATATTGACAAGTCAAACATCCATTTCTACTGTAGGTCTTTGGTTCAAAGTGCTCTGCTGCATCATTTCAGTTTGGCAGTGCAGATAAAACAGAATTATTTTGTAGAAGACACATGTGAAAATGATATGTACAGTATGCCTGGTAGATACACCAGTATATTTCCCTGTCACTGCTGTTCCTGAGAAAGTATGGAAAGTGAAGTTGAATGTGGTGACCTTAGTGCAGAATGTCCACCAGTCGCTGGTAGGTTTCTCTCTCTTGTTTCAAGCTGTGATGCTCTTCCACATAGAGTTTTCCGTTGCGCACCACTTTCTCTCTCAGCTCATGATCTGACAACAGCCTCTGAGATTGATGCACAAATTCCTGGCCGGAACAAAAGCAAAACAAGTCTCATTTACTGCCCGGTGCCACTTGAAGCTGGTCATGAAAGTTGCCAAAAGATACGTGTTAAAGACAATCCAAGACATAAGAACAGAGCTCAGATAGAAGCCTGTGCACTGATTAGTAAATACTTCAAATAGGTCTTACAACGGACAAGGATTGAGATATTTGTGGCTCCAGAGCCAAATAGGACTGTCCAAAGAACTTTTTGGACCATCCTATAATAGCTGCCACCTCTCATTTGCTTATGAAGACAGGGAAAACCAAATCAAATTACAGCAAACATTAAAACAACACTACCCAACCAGCTGTCACAGGAAAATAAGGATTTATTATTTATACATTAAAAACGAGTAATGTTGCCATCACTGAGCATTGAATGAAATGTAGGTTAACCACAAAGAATCCTGAATCCTAGTTGCTCAACTGTTGGCCCATCAGACTGAGAGAGGCCTCCAACAAAAGGCAGCTAAAGTGCCTTAAAGGGTTCTTGCAGCATGGCAGCCAACATTTGCTGCAGCAGAGAGCCAATAGAGACACAAAGTTTTAGACACTGCCAGTCAGAAGGCCACTTCACTTTACTTCACTTCAGTCAAGTGATGTGATTATGTCTGAAGAGGCTCTTGGTTGAAAACAGCTCTTCTGTGTGGCCATATGAGAGTAATAAATCCTCAGCAACAGGATTAAAGCTCAACTTATGAGCAGCATGCTTATAATCACTTCACTCACTGCAAATTAAAGAGCCAGACAGGGGAGGACGTTCACTTTTTCCCCTCTGTTTGTTTGTTTCCTTTAACACGTTACTTGATACCTGTGCTGCACCTGTAATAACTTTGAAAGCTTAAACAATGAGAAAAACTGACATTTTGAAATGAGACAGGGTTTTGATATGTGAAAAAAGTAGATCAACTGCAAAGAAACTTTTTGGCTGAAAAACCAGCGCTTGCTGCTCATTAGTCCTGGCTGAGGTCTTGGTTTATACAACCCATGTCGCTGCGACCATCTGTGAGAGCTTCCTCCTGGCAGCTCAGCTGAGCACACGTGACCCCCCCGGAGAGGACTTATCTCCACCGTTACGGCAACATCACGCTAGATGACAGCACCATGCTCAAGCCCTCTGTCAGCTGGCCTTAACCTATGTTATCCTCCCTTTGCATGAAACCTCATTAAATATCAGAATGAAGCGTTCTCATGGGGGCTCTCTTTCCTGCTTGCTGCTACATGTTGCATCACTATGTGGTAATGTGCTATCTTTGCTTTCTCCCTGAAGGCTTCACTTTTTGATTCTAAACTGTGCACCTGAAAAAACAGCAATTCTTTTAATATTATTTTACCTATGTTTGGACTAATGATAAGAAAATTGAAAGTACAAAATTTAACAAAATGATGTAAAGTTGGAGTTTTCTTTCTTAAAAGTCTCCAGGCTTTTTAAGATAAATCTATGGCAGGAAGATGAAACACCTGAAGACATCCTGAGGCTGTGCTTCAATACTACTTATTAGCATTAAGTACTTTTCCAGTCAGCTAAGGTGTAGGTGTTGGCTGCAGAGGTATATGCAGTAGATTCTCTGTGCAGGCCATCAACAGCATTAAAGCTTAACAGGGCTTAACGCATATGGTGACCTGGTCAGTGACTGTCACTATATACCTGAGGAGACGAGTACAACAGGCCAGTGAACTTGTGCTGCACCACGGCAGAATTTCCTGGAATGTCCCTGGCCAGCACAGGTACCCCGAGATCCATGGCCTATTGGAGCAGAGAGAACATAACACACTCAAAATTCACACAGTGAGATTCGACAGAGGTTACTCACTCTTTCTATCATCATTTAGGTAAAAAAAAAAAGAAGCACCTGAGCTCTGTGGAAATTGTGCAGCTTGGCTCATCTACACATCAGTGCAGAGTTGAGTTCACTTACAGAATTAACAATGTGTATCCGCTAATACCTTCAGCAGGTTGTTGAGTGAAACATGTTAACATACTAATCAGACTTTAAGCCCACTGTGGATTGTCTTAATCGACTGTGTTTAAAAGAGATTAAGTGGATTTGCAGGTTTTGCTCACTCAGGAATAGGAAGATTTGAGTCAAGCAATTAATTTGGGTAATTGTCCCTGAAGTGGTCAGATAACATTGTAGCAGAGATAAGGACTCCTGTAAATATTCCCATTCGATAAATCAAGTTCTCATTACCGTTATATTAATGTGCACCACAATGCAGGAGCAACAGAAAGATAAACTGAGTTTAACAGTATAAATGTCGAAGGCATGGCATGGAATCCTCCAATTACCCATGAGCCCTGAAGATGTTTACCTCCAAGATTGCTGCTGACATGCCCTCTGAGATGGAGCTGTTGACCATGGCGAAGCACCTTTTCATGGCAGCGTGAAGCTCCTGTTGGCTCCTCTCCTGGGCCAAGAAGACCCCTGCTGTTCTGCAGACGCAGTGGCAAAGCTCAGTTCTGCGTGACTCAGGGCTCACAGAGGCATGAATGATACTGAACAGCAGTGACAAGCTCAGGGCAGGAAACATGGGTACACTATGCCTAACAATCTCAGAGTATCCAGGTAAAGTCCTAACCAGAGAGGGCCGCTTCCTGCTGCACAGGTCTATGTTGTGGTGAAGGCCCCTGGCGAAAAACTGAATACCAAGACTCAAGAGCAGGGTGACAGGGGAAAAAAGGATCTTGATTCTCTCCCACCTGCATTCTTTTCAGTTTATGCTAAAATAAATGTAAGCACTAAATTCTTGTACCACATGGGATAAACACAAAAAAGAGCAACCATCAAATTTCTCACAGGAGCAGGATCTTGGCAATTAAACTGTCAGATCTCAAGTTTGCTTTTATGAGACGTGTAATTGATTAAGAAAATTCAACAAAACAAAACAGATGGCTTACCTTTGAACAACAGCTTCCACTTCGACAGTAAACACAGGATCAATCTGAAAGATTAAAAATTGAAATCATGTGAAACCCCTTATCTGAGTGCTGTGCTCATCAAGGATGGCAACAATGACTTAATCAGGAGGACAAAATAAACAATGAAGCAAAATTAATAATTTCTATTCAGAGCAAATCAATCTCTAAAAATCCTGTATAGTCAAAGATTGGGGTCAGGATGGGGTGGGTGGCCAATCTGATTAATTGCAATGTGGGATTTGCCTGCATTAGCTTGCACATAGAAAAGTCAAAGCAGAGCAATTTAGGTCAAAGATGCTACCAAGCAGGCTCCTTCAGTTTTTTCTCTCTGTCATTTTATAGCTCATGGAATTTCTAAATTAAATCTGCTTTACAGCACATGTGCATCACAATTAAAGAATTTGAACTAAGAACATGTCTTGCATCCTGCTGTAATCTGGGATTAAGCAGACATTGTAGAACCAGCGGGGGACAGATCACGATAAAGGCTGCATTAACAATCACAAATGATTTAAGCACAGATTCTCTGTTGTCCTGCAGTGAGTCAACAGGAAACAGAGAGGAGGGACAGTAGTCAGAAGGAGAAGGCAGATGCTACACCCATGTTTTTGCTTGTCCAAGTGAATCTGTCACATCTTTCCTTTTTTTTGATAATCAAGATGCTCTCTTTTCCTCAGCTACATAATTTCTTGTTTTAAAGCGACACATATGGTGCAAATGTCTGCTACTGTTTCAGATCTGTCATTTAATTTTCACAGTGAGCTTTCAGTTCATTTTATTTCATTGTGATAGGAAGTATTCTGCAGATCGTGCTGCTTAATAAAAGCCTAGTTACCGAGCAGTGAGATGTGTCATTGCTCACAAGCTGACCTGAATTTTCCTCTTAATGACAGATGCTGTGCAGCCAGACCATTTATTACTTAGTAGCTGTGGATTTATGGTGCATCATAATAGCCCAAACAAAAAACTTCTCAATCTAACTTCTCTTTGTTTTTTTATTTTTATTTGACAGTATCCTCATTAAATATGTCCAGCAATGTTTACGTTTCATTAACTGTGGAATCCTGAAATTATCAAGGGTGGAAATCTGACAGTCATAAAAAATACATGTTTATCATAAAAATAATATATGGCTTTTCATTTCTCAGACGAACAAACAAACAAACACGCTTCCACTGTGATTCAGGGGTGTTGAGATGAATCATGCATCTCCGCTTCCACTGAACCATTTCATCAGACAACAAGAAAGCAGAGCCGAGCAAGACGCTTCAGTCCGTGTCTAATTGAGTTGTTTATGAGCAAAACTAAAGCAGAACATGCCTCTTGCCTGACTCCGCTGTTTGATGCTGCACTAAAATGTGGTACAGTGATGTCATATCAAAGCAAATCAAAGGGCAGGAGGAGATGAAGACAAACATACAGAGAAATCAATGAGTGGGATATTGGAAATGAAATCAGGAAAAACACACAAGGGCTGTAAGAGCACTGAGGCGGCTGCTGCTGCTGGCCGGGATATGACTTCTTTCTGCAGAACAGCATAAAAGTGCAATCAGTAAAAAAAACGTACAGTAAATGTAAAGGCTGATTTATGAATATCATAAATCATGGCAGGCTGTAAGAGTTCAATTGCTTTTCTTCCAGCTACTAGACTTGTGCAGTCAGTATATGTGCAGGTGATGTCTTCAAGGATGACACACAGGACTGAAGCCGTTGTTGTGTGACAGGGCTAACTGCTTTACCAGCACACGTCCAGATACATGGTCATCCACGTGTAATAAAATGAGGTAGCTCTGCACAGGTCACTAGACAACCGTGAGTGCTAATCTGCGGTATGAAATGCATCAGTAGACCAAACACTGCAGCTGTGGCTGCTGACCTTCGTCCTGTGTTTAGAACACTGCCATTTTCTCCCGGCGACGACTGTTAATTCCAGCTAAACAGCTATGGCCATATCTCTGCTACATCCAATTAGAGGCATCCTGTATTCCCAGGGCAGGTTTCGAGGTAATTTAACAGCACAAAGAGTCACAGTACTGAGGGACAACACATGGCAAGTATGAAAATAAATATCCTGACTTTCTGTATAATGACTGTGTACGTACCTTTGGCCCAATAATGATCAGGGCATTCAGCGGATTCTCACAATGCCACTCTAGAAGACACACAATGTAAATGGCAGTGAAAAAAACAACATCAGCTTGGAAAACTAATTAACAGTTGGAGCTTTCTCAAAAGCAGAAAAGCTGTTTTGTTTAGAATTCTTGCAGCTATACTTGGTTACTGCACCATATGTTTGCATGTTTGGCCTTGTATAAGATGAAATAAATATGTTTAAAGAAGTATGTATTTAACGCTATTGGCTGAGTATTTCCATCTTAACAATGAAGTTAACAATTAACATTCTGAAACCAGAATAGAACAGCACTCAGTTGAGCTCATACGTCCGCCAAAGCCTAAAAGTCCCCTGAAGTCCAATCAGGCTGCACCAAATTGCACACGCTCATAGATCCTCTAAATGTGCCGTCTAGATCTAGATCCATGAATTATTCCCTGCGAAATTGGTGAAAATGTCAAATAATGGCCTGTATCTTAATGTCAAAGAAAGTGAAAAAATAATATTCCTGGATCCCCACCAAAATGTAATGGCTTCTCCCATGACCCATACGGCATGCGTCCTTACAGAATTTCTGCATAATTCTACGAAGTAAAAAAATAATAAATGCAGATGAAATCCTTGGCAGAGTTAATAAACCAATCCTGTCAACTTGCGTCTGGGGCTCAGGAACTGGAAAAGGCTCCTCAACTACAGGTGAGCTGTGAGGGTGGAGAGACAGTGAACAGGGGCAGGGCCATATCAGCATTAGCTATTGTAAAATGTTATTTTGTGGATTAAAGCATAGTTTCAGGGGAATTAACAACCTACTGGAGTGTGACTATCTTGTTTGAACATTGCAATTCAATTCATATGAAGGCCATGTGACAATCCACACATCTCTATCTGGATGAAGCATTCATACAGTATATAGTTTAACGGCCTCTATGATTTTTACCATAACTGTGTGTTATGAAAATCACATGAAATAAAAGATTATTTAAAAAGAACCAACTGATGTGGCTAATCATTGGCAATAGGATGGCTATCATCATCAGAAGAAGAAGAGAATAAACCAAACCAAACTATAAAAACAAGTCTCAACTAGAAAGTGTGTCTTTTTTTAGGGGCAGAATGAGCTGTCAGAAGAATCTCATTGCTCTTTCACATACATTTTCAATTAGCTGAAAGTCAACCACAGAGATCTAACATCATTCTTAAGTCATGAGGACACAGGCCACTACAGTGAGGAAGGCTTTGGGAGTTCAGCTGACCCTGAGGTTGACCAAAGCAAAGACATGTCTGTGTGAAAGTCCATCAAGCTGGCCTGCTTACAATGTGTCCCAGCTTTTCTCTTTGTAAACTGAGTTTATTATTATTTCTTATATTTTAAACAAAAAGACCTGCGTGGTTTACCTGAAAATACCTTCACCAGATAGAGGGGGTCCTTGACTCTTCTGAGGCCGCAGACCAACAGGAAGACACGCAGCTCATCCAAATGCTCAGTGCTTACACCTGGAAAGACGCCAGACACAAAGAAAGACAGCGCCACAATATCAAAACACTGCATAATGAACATCCCAAGTACATCGGCATATAATGAAAGCAATACATCACCCAAGGTCATGAGGAAAGTAAGACAGCGGTGACTAATGTGCTCCCACAATTCTCTGATCAGAGCTGTAACACTCAAGAGGGCAATAGTCTGCTGAAAACATTGGAAGGTTGCCGCAAAATCAGAGTGTAATACAGCATCATAACTACAGAGCTAAAGTATTCGCTCACTGAGCAGACCTAGATTAAAATGAGATAACCCGGCATCATGCTAACAACATCAAACATTTTTCAGAACTTCACTTGAATTGAGAGGCCGGGCCACTAAATCGACTCTTTCCAGACCTTCCAGCTTTTAGGATCAATCCATAGATTAGTCGTAAACTGGCTGCAACACAACTGTGATTACTGCCAGATTCTACTGTGGACTGCACCTGACTTTGTAGAGGTAGAGAATACGAGTGGAGAGCCTTGTGAAAGAGCCCTGCTCTGGGATGATGACAGCAGACACTGGACCGTCAGACTTAGCGATGAGCAAATCCTCTAATGAACTTTAAATAGATATTTACTTCTCACCGTACTCCATATAGAGGGTTCACTGGCCTGAGGTGGGCTGAGTTACATTCACAGCTACCTAGTGGAGAGTGGAGTGAGCAGGGAGACTAGTTCTTTTAAGGGTGCTACTTTCTGGAAGTGAGTGTCCATGAGTCCTGAAGCAAAGGGGTGTAACCCTGATTTAAACGCTCACCAAAATGGAGATTACCAGTCATGCAAGCAGCTGTGTGAGGCTGGACTTGGGCACAGTAGTGTCTGAAGATGTGTGTTCCAAAGCCCATGGCTATCACTGAAAGACTTGTTGAGACATCAGTCTGGAGCAAACTGATGGTCACATACAAGACACTTAAGATAACACATATCCCATAAAAGGTGTACTGATGAAATGAAGCAACAAAAGAAAAGAAAAGTCTTTGTGAAAAGAAAATGTATTTAATTTCTTAAGCTGTAATGCCCAGTTCTTTACAACTGAAACAACAATCACAGATTGATTTCATTTTAAGTGAAGTTGATGTCAAGGCAACACTTTAAATAAGATCTATAAGGATATTTTAATATTAGAGGGTAACGAGAGAAGTTTAATATGAGATTCCTGACCTTTTATGTCTGACAATGAGCCAGAAAAGTAACTGCAGAGATTGTATTGCTCCTAATAGCTAAGCTGGCAAAGCTGTGGTGAACCACAATTTGAGTGTAAAAACAGCTGGGGGGGGGCTCATGTGTAGTGTCTACAAACCAAGAAACAAAACATTTTGAAAATAATACCACAGACAGACACTGACACGTGCTTAAAGCACAGCAAGAGTCGAGTGAAATCCCCTGCTGCCAGATAAGTCCAGATCAGGAGGCTGAGGCAGCTCTTTTAATGCTATTAAAGAGCATCTTACAATGTCAGCATGGAGTCTGGGCATTGACCCTGATCCTTGGAGACTATCGTCAAAAAAGCACTTCATCTGTGGGAACCATCAAACTTCCTTGCATTGATTCGCAGGATGAGAGAGGACGTCAGTTAAGGTAAACACCAGTGTCACTGCCACAGAACAAGAAGCAGGAATATAATGGAGGATCGCTGGAATCATACCGCACAGACCTGTCAAAATGAACAAGAAATTCAAAGAAACAAACAAGGTCTTTGGATGTGAGACACAATTCATCTTTCCTCAGGGGAGAAAAACAAATTGTACAAATCATCAGTTGTGCCAGCAGCAATCTCTTCTCTCTTTCTGTGCAGTTGTGTGAGTTCTATGAAAAATACACTTTTGTTCGTTCGCCTTTGATTTCAGAAGGACATTCTGAAACCCCCCCCTGATGCTTTAATCAGTATGTGTGAGTGTGTCTGTGTATATGCCTGTGCGTGGATGCGGGAGCATATATCTATCCGAACAGCTTCTCTTAATCTGCCGGGTGGCACAGGATGACAGAGAGACTGGAGTCTGCAGGGTGTAGACAAAATAATGACAACATCGCAAAAAAGGGACACAATCACATACAATAACTAAATTATAAAAGTGAGATTATGTCTGAATTCTACAGAGGTTTGACAGTTTGTGCACAAATTGCTGGTGCCTGAAGTCCGACTTCTTTAGCTACATTTTCTCATATATTCTCACATAAGTAGATGAGAGGCATTTACTGTCAGTCAAAATATATTATGTTTCATTTTATATTGTGTTTGAGTGAACATCTACCTGAATGAAGCCACAGTGGAGGATATGCACCAAAATTAGAGGGTTCAGGCAGGGGAGCAGGGTCTCTAGTCAGAACAATACACACCAAGCTGCACAAACAGGAACATTTGTGCTGCAGTTTCCCTGTGTGCTGTTGATTTTGTTCAACTCTGTTATCACCACAAAAGAGAAAGTACTAGGCTTGAAGCTTATCTTCTTTAAATAGCAGGAAAAAAACAGCCAGGTCACATGAGCAGAGACTGAGTCATAGTGTATGTTTGGGACTTAATACTTGGGGATGAATTAAGAATTCGAAACTATGCGTTTGTTAGCTGAAACAGCACGCAAACATTCTACTGTATCAAAGCTCTGTCGGCAATCTATGTTTAATGTCCACGAGTTTTATTGTTTTTATTTCAATATGGAGACACACTGAAGTGCATCCCTCCATCAAGGCTAAAGAATCTGACACGATAAGTAATTCGAAAAATAAAATAATAAAGGAAGTGGACACAGTCCTTAACAGTGAACATGAAAACCAAGGACACATATTTTTTACTCTTCACTACATGTATCTCTAGAGATAAAAAACACAGTAACATAGTATTTTATAGTAACTCAAAATATAACAACTAGTAAGGCTACGGATTAACCACAACAAACAGCTGTGGAACAAATCATTCCAAGAAATCTAAAGATATGCAGCGGTTGCATCAGCACCAAATTGTACACACTCATAAATGTCAGCCCACTAAATACGCTGGATTTTAATAAACTAAGATTGTTCGATTAATCCATTAAAAAAATCCCTGATGTTGCAATACAAAAGGAAAATAAATCCTGGATCTGCCCCTTGATTAACATTTGCACTAAAATGTAACGTGTTCCTCCCAGGCTCCATCTCCCTCCCTCCACCGAGTTTAGTAGAATTTGGTTTAGTAGATTTTGCGTGATCTTGCAAAGAAACAAACCAAGAAGGACACCCAGTACAGCGAATCCCTCAGCCAAGGTCCAACAGTTCCCTTCAACTCAATCAAGCTGCACACACCCATAGGTATCCATATGATTTGTTGTGCAATGATGAATGAATCCTTGATCTGGCCCCTGGTTCAGATCTGCACCAAAATTGAATAGGTTCTTCCCTGACACTTATCGCATTCTTTCACCAAGTGTTACGGAAATCCATTCAGTTGTTTTCAAATAATCCTGTTTACAAACCAACCAACCAACCAACAAACACAACCTCCTTGATGGTTGAGAAATTGAGACTGTTCCCTGATCATGTTGCCATGACTATAAGATGATAACTGGCATTTCTGTGAACACATCACCTTTGCCCGTCCTTTGAATTTTAATCATTTATCTCTCAAAAAGCTTCTTCACTCAACACTTCATGTTTAATTTTTTCAATATCAATCATCCGAGGACCAACACACTCTTTCGGTGAGTCAAAGCGTCGCTGCACTTTCTTCTCATGTATCCCCTTAACCCCACCTCACAGGGCACACAGCAGGGGCCACAAACAACATACACCAATCGGCTTACATGGACTGACAGCTTCTGGATCCCAGTGCTAAAGTCAGTGCCTTTGGAGAGTACATGACACCCAGAGGATAATCACAGACACGTATACAGTAAAGTCATGGATCTTCAATCAGGTAGGAGTGTTGCTTTGCCTCTTTCATGTTCACCGCATGATGTCTTTTTTTTACTGTGTGTCACTGCAACACAGCGCCACACAGAATACATTTATTCCCCACACTCAAACTATCGCACATCTTCGTTAAGGTCGCCTATGTACCTCATACTCTATACGATATTTAGTAATGATTAATTTATGTCCTGCAATATGGAAGGATGAAAAAGTAAATCAATATGCACGAGATCTGGGAGTTGAGAAGACACACACATGGGATAGTGCCCCCTGCTGTGCTGGGAGTGTGTGTGAAGATAAAAAAAAAAAAAAAAAAGTGGATGAGAGGACAGCAGAGAATGCAGGTTGCTGCAGGAGTCACTTCTGTCAGACTGCGTTTGTTGTGTTTTCATAAAACTCAAACATGAGTGATATTGTTGAGACTGATTACTGCAACTGACAAACATAATCAATGTCTTAAAGGAGCACATGTAAAATTGAAAGTTTTATGAAAACATAAGTACAATTTATCCTCTCAAAAGCACATTTCTCATGTGCAGGATAAGTTAAAATTCAAATTTGAAGTCACAGCTCTCTGGCTTGTGGTCACATCCACCTTTCCTTATCACATACACACAATTAAGAATGTGGGGGAATGTGTTGTCAAATGCACTGTTGTGATAACACAAAACAGAAAAATACAAAACGGACAGAACTTCCTCTTAAAGATGCATCTAACCCACATCTACTAATAAAGAGAACCCCAAAAAGCACACATACAGAAAGCAGAATAATGTTTGCAGCCCGGACAACAACTATGGATCTGAATATAGCACTTCCATCTGATGAAAAACCAAATAGTAAGAACCCCCTATTTCAAGTATAACAAATGGAGAAGTGACTGTGGGCGATTAGTATTACACGTACTGGTTGTGAAGCATAGTGACGAATGGCCACAGACTGGAGGGCTATTAATCAACTGTTCCTCTGTGCAGTCACACAGTGCTCTGCATGAGCACTAATGTACCTGAGACGGACATCATCTCGCAATTTCCAATATACAGTCCAGGTTGTGTGTGTAGAGCATGCTCGGAGAAGCTGTTGTGTACATTTACTGGGCAAATGGGAGTTGAAAAATGCAGGAGGGAAGGAAAAAGGCTGGATAAGGCTGGAAACTCATGGCCTCCCTGATCACCACGCTGATGCATCTCACATAGCAGAGTAAATGTATGCTCACCGCCTGGAGCTTTTCAGGTTTGGGGAGTATGAAGAGGAGATAAGGAGAGAGATGAAGGATGCAGTCTAGAATAAGGATATATATTTGATCGGATATACTAGGATATTCTTAATATACAGTATAGCAAACAGTAACATGGGGCACTGATATATGTCTGACACCAGAGTCCCTATTTTAAAAGGGATCTTAAATTTCACTTTGCAGTTACCTCTCCATTTTATTGCACTGAACAAAGTATCCAGAACCTGTTCCACAGTTCCAAGGTTTTGTTGATGTGCTAACAACTGTCCCTGCTAGGATTTGAGAGATCGTGGTCAGTTGTTTCCGTCATGTTTATAAATTCTTAAACAAGAATACTCAGTCTTTTACTTTTAAGATGTAACCTGCCAATAAAATGCAGTTCTTACGGAGCACAAAATATCAAGGTAAAAGACTGTAGGCAATATTTCTTTCATAAGTACAACAAATATATATGACAGCAATTTCACTATTTACTTTGCCATTTTGCTATTTAAAGGTACAGTGTGTAGAATTTTGTGATATCTAGTGTTGAAATGTCATGTTGCAGCTGAGCACCCCTCACCTCACCCTCCCCTTCATAACATGAAAAAGAACCTGTGGTAGCCTTTAATTGTCATAAAAACTCAAAAGGGGGTTTTCCAGTCTGGACTAATGTAAAGAAAACTACAATTCATACAATTTAGATGAAATGAACTAGTGAAAACATCATGAGGATTATTCTCCATTAAATTTCTGCCAATAGTTCCCTTTCACCTAAATCTTACACACTGGACCTTTAAGAGAAATCTAAAGAGAAAAAAACTCAGAAGAGCTTTCACTAGACTTAAAACGTCTAAAGTAATTATCCCATGTTATCTACTGCTGGAAGGACAACCGACTGAAGCAGTGACAGTACCTGAGCTCCTCAAGAATTCAGTCCAGCAGAACGTGTCAGTCACTTGCGTCTGGATACCTTTAAAATAAACACAGGGCACAGTGCTGTTAGTAAGCTTTTAATGTACAACAGTGATTTAATCCACTGTGAAATAAATAAACCAAGTGGCTTTTAATTCCAGTGGTAAATAACCTGAATTGTTTTTATTATCATGGCCTTAGGTTAATAGTCTAACCTCTCAGAACATAACCTGCAAACACATCCTGTAGTCTTTATATGGTTTATTCATATTGGGTGCATACATTGATGTTGTTATAACAACCTCCAATATGTGAAAAACAAAAAAAGATTGAACAAGATCAAACTAATACTTTGTGTGGCCCATGTAAAAAAGCTCTTCAGTGTGATCACTATCTGGTGACAAGCATGAAAAATAAGCTTCCACCGGCCATGGCTCAGCCATGCAGCCGGCTCAGAGCTCTGCTCTAATCTATGAAGGGACACTATTTGCCAAACAAGGCTGCTGGTGGGAAGCAACATGGAAGAGTGATTTGGGCCATCATACATGGTACGGTGGCCAATGGCAAAAGCAAATACGATGCTGTACAGCAGACAGTATGATAATGGAGGAAAAAATGTCAAAGCTGATTAATGTAACACTTCAGTGGCGAGTCAGGGATGCACAACATCAGGCGAGGATATTCATCCCGCAGAGCTTACCTTGGGGCTGGACACAGATTTTACTGCTCTGGGACAGCTTCAAAGAAAAAAAACAGAACATTAGAAAAGTCTGGATAAAACAAGCACTAAATATAAATGCATAAGTGTTTTAAAATCAATGTTCTATATACAAATTACATTTGATTATATATTATTGTGCTTTTTTCCTCCTTATGCCAGGAAATAAAAAGATCCACTAAATGCTCTTTGTGCTGCAAACATATTTAATACGAATCTTAACTTTAAAAGAGTCAGGAAAGCAGTTGCTAAGATAATGAGGGCACTGCAAAATAGATCACAGGAGAGGGAAAGGAAATTGACTGGGTGTTATCACACTAGATCCATCCCTATGTGTGTTTTCTGTCACATTAAAAAGCGTAGCAATGCTCTCAGTGCCTGTCCTGTCTGCCTGCTGTCAGCACTAAATGGTGGAGATAAAGCATGCCACTCGCCTCAATCTACAGCCCACGGCTGGAATCTAATCTGAAAATAAAGCATGGTAATATCGTTTTAATGCTCATCTATTATGGGACAGGGCAGGATATTGTGTTTGTATAAAAACCCTTCTGTTGTATTTATTGAAGCTGGCAGCCTCCTGCTGTCTGTCGATGTGCCTTAAAATGTGAACAAAAAACTTTTCCTCGCACTCATGCGTGCTGTGCAAGAAATAGGTCGATGTTTAGTTTATATGAAAATAGCATTCATGGGTTTTGCTAGTTGCTAGGTTTGGAGGGTTGGGTGCAGCAGAGGTAATCTGCAAAGAGGCGCACACAGAATTCTGACTGTAAAACTTCAATAAATGAATAATGACGAACATGAGACACAAACTTCATCATTTATCAAAGCTTATTGATTAAGTGAGCAATTAGTTATAAACTAGTTAAAGGTGTGTGAGATTTAGGTAAAAGGGTACTATAGGCAAACATTTTATGTAGAATAATCCTCATGATGTTTTAACTAGTTTGTTTCATCTAAATTGTATGAATTGTAGTTTTCTTTACCCCAGAAAAGGCCCTTTATATTCAAATACTTTATATTTACACTGAGGGGACCCTCTCTACGGAGGCCGCCATGTTTTTTACATTAGTCCAGACTGGACAAACTAAACACCTTTTGAGTTTTTATGACAATTAAAGGGTACCAGAGGTTTTTTTTATGTTTGGAAGGAGATGGTGAGGAGAGGGCTGTTCAGCTGCAACATGCAATTTCAACACTAGATATCACAACATTCTACACACTGTACCTTTAAGTTGATTCAGTAAAATACTAAAGTCAAGAATCATACCAAAAATATCTCTGCCTCTTCTTTTAGTTTGTCAGTAAATGCAACAGCAAACCTGAAAAAAAAAGACACTTTGTTTTCACTCATGTAAAAGCAAGAATTTCATTGCCAACAGTAAATGATCACATTAAAAAGAAATGACAACAATAGAGAAAAAAGCATCAATGACACAAAAAAGTAAGCTGTGGATTTAAGGCACAGGACTTAAGAATGAATACAACAAGAATACAAAGTGTAAAACAAAGGAAATGTAGAGCAAAAAACAGTGGGGAGATATTCATTTGCAGGTATGTGAGTGTGCGTTAGCAAATTGGCTGGAATGGTGACTGTATTTCATGTTTAAGGTTTGTGTAAGGAGGCACTAGCAGCAGGAGATGCAACGATTCAGATGTTTGAAGCAATGAGACCTTTATATCTCCCTTTCTCCCAGAAGACAATTATCTCCCTTCGATTCACAAGATTGATGCTTAACAATCTATTTCCATCTTAACGATTACAGCAGACACCAGGATGACGTCAGGGACCTGGACAAGCCTGTCTACAGATTAACGTTTCAACGTATCAGTGTTAAACTAGGGGAGGAGGAAACACACAGCCTGCACAGCTGGGGTTAGCTCTCATGTGCTCAGCCTCATTCTTTCATGCCAGCACTCCAGGCACTTGTGAGGATCCAGTCTGTTTTTTAAATATATATTCACAGATATCAGAGACACTAGTTACAATTCAGATGCTTTGCAACAGATAAAATCTTGGTGATACATAAATTCAACAATACTAAATACATACAATAAATAGGCAACACACTCAATACAGTGCTTCATGACAATCACCCATTTATTTCAATTGGTCACAACTGTGACACAATCTTTTTTTGACTTGTAAATCTACAAAAGGTTTGTCAGCATGTCTGAAAATCACGTGTTGATTGAAAATAAAGGATGACTCAATTACATTTGAATAATTTCAAGTGAAGGTTATAAATCTATCTATTGATTAGCTGATATAAATTGGCTGATGTGAATATATATTGGTATCTGCATTTATGTTCGCCAATAATAAAAATGTATTTTAAAGAATAATATTTTAGAAAAGATGTCCATTTATGTTTACATTTTATCTTTGATTCAAATTCTGGATATTTGGTTGTGTTTTGCTTCCTGTTTATTCATAATTATTTATAACCGGGGTTATGGTAACTTACTTTTTTTGATTTACCATTAGGAATCACTGCCAAAATGTCTTATATATACAAAATACAAAATATAAATATATTAGCAGATAAATTGGAATCAGAATTTTAATACAAACCCCTAAAATCCATATTGGTCGGGCTGTAATATTTAGTGCTAACACCTGAATGGTGTCCATTACTCATATAATAATTATATCACATGAGGCATAACTTGTTCAAACAGCGATATGTCATCTTGTTATAGCAGAACAAGAGCAGGTGTAACATAAGAATGATGATCATCACATAAAAGCTACCAGCCTGTACAATAACAAGGTCCTTAAACTGACAGTTAAATATAATGCATCCATAACAAATGTTATTAGTTACACCTGTCTGCTGTAAAACTGCTTCTTACATACTTTACAATCACACCGTTACTTTAATTAACGGCTTCATTAGCTGATCATGTTCCTCCTCACTTGAACATGGAGGTGGTCTCCTGCAGTTTGTGTGATGTGTTGAATAAAAGGGTCAAACTCATGTGCTCAAGCTCTCTGAAATGAAGTAGGTTAAAACAGTAGCTTTCAGCAGCATCACCTGGCTTTCAGCAGCACCTGCTCCATAACCACACGCTTCTGTTTAACTTTCACATCTTCATTTATGTCTGTTCCGCCAAAGATGACGCCGAAGGGTACTTGGATGTCTGGTGTAAAGGTCAGACATAAAACAGAACATGTGTGGAACAGGCGGCTGTCAACTTAAAACTGTGTTATTACATTGACAAAGGGAAACATATGTACAGCAGACCGGTTAATAGATCATACAGTGGGAAGCATGTTTACCCAGGAGGAGCCTGCCTGCTTTGAACAGGTGAATGGCCAGTGCGGCCTCAAATGGAGGATTCTGGGATACTAGGTTGGCCACCTCAGCAGGTGACTGAAATTCTGCTGCATCCCTGAGCTCACACGTGTGTCCTGCGGACTCTATGTGGGACCTACAATGTAAAGAAACATGTAACCGTCAACAACACGGGAGTTCAGTAAAGTTCCCTCATTCAAATAACTTCGTCTCAAAATCCTTATTTCAGTCATTAAACGAATGTGCTGGTTTCTCTATAGTTATGCTGCTTGTTGATTACAGCACAATGACACACTCCGGACTCAAAAGTAACTCCGCTGTTTCACAACTACTTTATTTATAGTTCACCCTGGTCAACACCTAACTCCTCTGCTACTTCCTCTTCCAGCCTCGCGGACTAAACAACAGCTTCTGTGTCCACTCTGTAAATTACCTGATCCTCTCAGCTGTAGTGTGGTTCCCAGTTTGAGGGCTGAGACAGGCGAGGAACAGTACTTTCATACCTCCACTAAAAGGCTGGGCAGCCGAGTTACCCCTAGTTCACGCGAGGGCATTAAGCACACGTAATGAAGCGGCGAGCGGAGCCTCGGTGTGCGCTGTTCCTGGCTCGTTACACCGGGAGATCACATTTCCTCAACCCATGCTGAACTTACACGTAGCGCTCATGCTAGGCTAACAGCTAGCTGCACCGGCGCCCTGCTAGGTGAGCGTAGCTTGACTGAGCACCACGCTCCAAATGTTTACACGTCCGTCCCCAATATGGTCCCCGGGAAACACGCGCAGGTCGCAGACACCGCACAGACACTTTATTTAGATTCCCCACACAGTGACAGACACTTCTTCACACACAGAACACAGACAGCTGCATCTCCTGACAAGTGAGTCAGGGTTTGTTCTGACACGGGGGGGGCACGCACCTCAACTTCCTCCTCTCGACGTCTGCGTGGACGGAGCAGATCTGTAAACCACATGGATAAGATGCTAGCCGCCTCCCTCGCAGGGCACTTCCGGGGTTGTTTCATTTATTGATCGTCTCCGGGGAAACGCAGGCGTGACGGTTTGTTGACGGAGCTGAGTGTCACGCGATAGTACTGTGACTGTTTTTTTGTTGACTTCCAGTTCTGCTTTGATAAAGTGTTGATTCCAGACGCGCCAGAGGAAACATTTCGGCGTTAGTTAGCATCTGAGTTCATGGAGATAACGACGAGTTTCAGTGATTAAAGGTAACTTTAAACAGCAAACTTTTATCTACCAAGCTAACGCTGTGCCAGAGCTAGGTTAACATTGGTGAATGTCTTCACTGAGTGCTTGTATGACATGTGATGAGGAGGAGGGGGGGGGTGTCATATGTTGAGAGTGATGCAGCTGCTGGTTTTCTCTGTGCACACAGTGATGGCCACGTTTAGCTAACCTGCGTATTTTCCTCTCAGGTTTGAACTCTCAATCAAACAGGCACCTCAGCCTTTGATTCAGGTGGATGAGCATGGCGGACAGCAGGGATGCCGGTGAGAGCACCCCTCTCCTGGACTCATCTGGGAGCAGATCTCCACCATCATCAGTGTTCCAGGGAAGGAGGCTGGCATGTGCAGCCATTCTGCTGGCTGAGTCCCTGGAGCGGGTTGCATTCTACGGCATCACATCCAATCTGGTTCTCTTCCTCAACAGCAGCCCTTTCTATTGGCAGGGCACGCAGGCCAGCCAGGCACCTCTGGTGTTCATGGGAGTCACTTACCTGATTTCACCCTTTGGAGGCTGGCTGGCGGACGCCTACCTTGGGAAATTCTGGACCATTGCTGCGAGCCTGATCCTGTATTTTACTGGCTTGCTGTTTTTCCCCTTCATTTCTAATGAAGACACCAGGATTCAACTGTGTGGAGAAGAGCTGGCGTTTCCTGTGCAGCCCGCTGAGTGTCTGAGCACAAACAGCACCCCTCCAAGCAGTATAACCTGCCCCATCCGGGCCTCATACTGTGGCCCCGTAATCTACAGTGGACTGTTTTTAATTGCATTGGGTGTGGGTTCAGTGAAATCCAACATCACTCCATTTGGGGCTGATCAGGTAGAGTATAAACAATATAACAGTTTATCTTAAGCTACAAGGTCTTTGAAAAAGATTTTTCTTCTGAGATAGGCCTGTGTAAGATTGGGTATGCAGTGTGACATAATGTCAAACATGTGATGGGATCTCTGTTGCATCATGATAGTTCACATAGACATGCATGCTCTTGATCATCGGGGCCATACACTGTGGACCATAATGTTCAAGTCAATAAAAACCCCTTTGTATTTCCGTCACTCACACGAAACCCCAAGAACAGAAATTTGAATGAAGCTTTGGAGGTAATAAGAAGTGAAACACATCACTATTTGGCAGTTTGGTGGCAAAATAATATCAGATTATGCAGAGAGATTTATGATTAAAAGGTGAAGTAATAGGAAAGTTCATCAATGGGAACATTGTTTCTCCCAAGAATCGAATCAAGAGTGGGTAAAAGCTTTTCAAAGGGGACTGGCAGGTCGAATACGCTTAGTGCTTGAGCCCACAGTACTCATTACATGATTTTCTGTCACGGCTTCTTTTGATCATTTTCAAACATGCAACATGTACAACAGCAAGCAAAATCCATATATCGGCGTAAACCCAGAAAAACACAGTCTTATGAAATCTCACAACAAACATAAAAAAGGCAACACAAGTAATACATCCCCTAGGTGCACAACACAATTAACTTCAAGTATTATTGTATAACATTTGAATTTCTCCATTAATGCTCCTTCTGCTGAAAGACACAACTGACAGTGGGAGCTGTTAATACCTTAAATTTGCTCAGTTTGAGTTCAATTTAAGATTTTAAAATAAAGCAAAGCTTCACTTTGGGCTTGATTTCTCTTTAAGGGATATTTGCACCTTTAAGCTGTGTAAATCGTGCCATGGTCAATGTGATCTTTACCTAAATTGCTATGCATGTTAAGTATAACAATCATATTTTTACACTTTGACAGAGACTCCACACTGAATAAGTGTAGATGCAAGCAGCTGTTACTGGGCAGATATTCAAGTTGAACTTAAAGCAGGGTTCAGAAAGGAGGAAACTATTGCACCTTTATCCCATTTTTATCCTCTTGTGAGTCACTGCAGATCTATCATGTGCCACCCTATAATCAGTGTAATATATACCTATCTAAGACCGATTCTATGTTTGACAACACTGACACAATATGGTAAAATAAAGGTTTGTCTTGTCTTGACATGACTTGGAAGACTGGGGGAACCATTTACTCTCAATGATCTTGTGTCAGAAGTAAATATACAAGCAACGAAAGCAAAAATGCACATGTTGGTAACGCAAGACAAACAAGTGATTTTGAAACCGACACAAGTTGGAAGAGAGAAACCCCAGAAAAAATGTCTGCTCAGCTTCAGCTTGTGAATGCTGTGACGTTATCTCCCCTGATAATTAATTGTAGCTTTACTGCTGCATTTTATCCGCGCTCAAATACATAAGACATATCTACTTCATCACACACTGATAACATCTTTTCCTCCACAGGGATAACTGCACATGGAACGGCTCAGTGTCATTATGAGAATAATATTATGGGCTTGCATAGACATTTAACATTATTGCAGTTTTTTCAGTAACCTAACAGTGTAGGTGTTTATTACAGCACATTTTAGAAGAATACTGAAAACTACAGAAAGCAAGAAGAAGAAGACACAAAGTTGATGTTGATTTAGTTTATATTTTATCACTCCCATGAGTAATAAAATAAAATTCCCCATCCCCTGTTGCCTAATACTTTCCCCATTATAATATGGGTATTTTCAATTCACGCAATAACAGGGTAGCACAAAGATTTCACTATTTATCACATTATCAAATTAAATACAGTCATTGTAACCATTTAACTTACTTTCACATCCCTGTCAGTTTCAGCTTGCTTCCTCTTTGTCAGTGCAGCTTTTCTTTTCCATTCTGTTCTCATCACTTATCAAGCTGTTTTATATAATGCAATTTGTAGCTTCACCAGTGTAACTGTAACTTAAATGCATTTGATTTGGACCTTTTGGAGAAAACTTCCTCATGTGGCAACTTTCCCATCAAAGTGCTGATAACCGAACCTATTTGAAAGATGAGGGCTGCAAGTTGAGAATCAAACTGATGTGACTAATATGAATCAGTTAAGGGAATGTTCAGCGTTTATGGTCTTTTCCCTGAAATGGTTAAATCAATTTCTCTTAAATGATCTCCTTGAATGCGTGACAGAATAACAGAGTGATTCTTTTGTCTCTGTGTAACCTCAGGTCAAAGACAGAGGACCAGAGGCCACACGCAGATTTTTCAACTGGTTCTACTGGTGCATTAACTTAGGAGCCATCCTGTCTCTGGGAGGCGTGGCCTACATTCAGCAGAATTTCAGCTTTGAGCTCGGCTTCATCATTCCAGCAGTGTGCCTCGGGGTCTCTTTCCTCGTCTTCCTCTTGGGCCGAACTGTCTTCATCACCAAGCCTGCTGATGGCAGCGCCTTCACAGACATGGCCAAGATCCTGAGCTTCGCCTGCTGGTCCAAAAAACCCAAAGAACCTAACCTGCTCCGGTGAGAGCAGCATACCACTTCTGTGTATCATTCAAAATAAGTCATTTTATACACCAATAGGAAAAAGCTGAGAGGAGACAAATTGTGCTTCCCAGTTTGCTTCCTATTAGTGTGTTTTGTGCTGAAGGTAAAAGAAGCACATCTCCCCATAGACTAGCAGTTAGTCCGCCACACAGCCTAACAAAGCGAGAGCGGAGGGGGACATTTCTTACATTGGTGGAAGCAGTTAACCAATTACAACAGGGTGGGCCACCTGGCCAATCAGAGCAGACTGGGCTATATCAGAAGGGGGGCCTTAAAGAGACAGGAGCTCAAACCAAGTGTTTCAGACAGAGGCTGAAAAGAGGAGCTGGAACAATGGACAGTTTTGTCCGGCAATAAAAGGTTGAATGACAACAGCATATTCACAATTGCTATGGTGCAGCATAGCATTCATCAGTCTTATAGAGGCATCTCTTTCCAACAGTGCAGCCTTTCATGGTAGAGTTTAGTAGGAGGATGACTGATCCAGTGGCGTAACACACCCAGGTGTTGTTGCTAGAACTTTATGTTAAAGCCTCTTTTGATCCCCCCTGTATAATTCTTTTTCCCCTCCACTGGTCCAGGCGTTTGTCTTCATTCCCCGTAGTGAATGTTATTCTGAAGTGCCGTTACTTGACTTTGAACCAAAGTAGCACAATCTGTTCAAAAACTTGACATTGAATATTTTAAATTTGCCAATCCCATAGCCTTTCAAGAATTTCTTATTAAGGCATTTTCTCCTGAGATGAGGATTATAGGCTTTAGAATAAAAACTCTCTCCTGTCTCTAGAAGTGCTTCTATTTCAGAGTGAGATGTTCACAAAGACAGCTGGTTAAGGGTCTCAACTGTATGTATTGGATTGTTGTATTATTTTATGTATGTGTTTGTTTTATGCTATGATTCACCCTTTAAATAGGATTTTGAAAGCTTATTTTATCTTTTTCTTTCTTTTAATTCCCATGAAGCAACAAACCAACACTATTGGACAGTGCCAAAGTGACTTATGGTGGGAAATTTCCAGAAGAGAAAGTAGAGGAAGTGAAATCTCTGGTGAAAATCCTCCCAGTTTTCTTTGCCCTTATCCCATATTGGACTGTTTACTTCCAGGTAAGATCAACTCATCAACCCAACATTTATGTGCTATTCTTCACATATGATGAAAAATATGAAGGAATGTCATACAGGAGTATTAGCTGTCTGGATGTCAATACTGTATGTACACACTTGTGTAAAAATTAGGGCATATTATTGACGATTTGCTTGAGACATCCTGGTGATCATGGCGTGGATAATTACTTCATGCTAAGACTCTAATCTTCATGTGTTGCAGATGCAGACAACATACGTCCTGCAGAGCCTCCATCTGAGGATTCCTGGTAGCTCGAACAGCACTGGGGACTCCCAACAGGTAAGTTAACATGGAGACACTCTCATTACCTGTTTCTTTTTAACTACAATGGCAACGGAGAGCGCATGCCTGTTAAAGATAGAGAAAAAAACATTCCTGGATCCTCCTCCTAAATCGCTTCCTCTTCAAAGGTTAATATGATCCCCTTTGGCCCACAACACTCCGTTCTGCCAAGTTTCAATAATACAGGGTCTGTAGTTTTTGCGTTGTCCTGCCAAACAGATAAACAGCAATGAACCTCCATTAGTGGAGGTAATTAAAAACACGGCATCTGTGTGGTTTGATATTGTGATCTGTTATTCACACTACTGCATACTTCTGTTGCATTAACCCGTGGAGCTCTGACCTGCCTACACATAAGTAGGTCTGAACTAGTCAGTAGGTCACTGCCACAATGGAAGGCAACAGCTGGAGGCTGCAGCAAAGGTTGGTAATACCCTGAGGATTAAATCAGAGTTGACTTCACAGACTAATACTTTGCAGATTAGCAACCTGCCAGTGATTGTATCTCAGCGCCTCCACCTGATTCTCCTTGGCTACTGCTGGCTTACCTGCATCTCCCTCTGACAGATTGTATGTTGAGGTCTGACAGAAACGCCCTCACTGTCTCCATATGATACACAGCCCCTCAAAAATGGTTTAAAAGGAATGACATTGGAATAGGAAGTGTTGAATAAAAAGAACAGGTGCTCTTTTGCTTTTTACACTAGCAGACTGAGGTGACAGTGAAGTGCACTAACTTCATGGAAATATGAAGTGAAACACACTGGTTAACCACAAAAGCAAACCTAGTGTTGTATAACCGGCACATATATAATCTTTTATTTCACAATAATAATCATTGAGTCTTGACACAGTCAGATTGTTCTTATGTAGTTTTCATGAGTCGTATTTCACATTGCATCTAACTTTAAGAACTATATTAGCTGGTTTTTCACCACAAACTTTTTTTTATCGGGTATCAAAAACGGAACTAAGCTTCTCTGCTACCAGCCTTGACACTTCTCAACATCAAAAGGGAAGTGAGATTAGATGCCTCTGTGATCCGCTCCCTCACCTCACCTGACACATTTCAATGGCTAAACTGAACAAATACTGTCTCTTCAAGGAAACAAGACTCGTAATAATAATAGGTGGGAATGAACAGATCGGAGCGAATATGTCATAATAATTCATTGTCGGATTGAGTCCTCATGTAAATGTACTGGCCTGTATTTGTTGTAGGATTAGCGTTGTACAAACATTATATTTTTTTATTAAAACAATTATTATATGTTTTATTAAGACAACCTTTGCATCCTGTGATGCATATGGAGCATTTTTTTCCAGCCTTTTAGGCTTGTTATATATACACAAAGCAAAGTAAACTCACAACACTCTTGGCTGTGGTATGCATTTTAATCACATTGTCTAATTTCTATATATTTTGATTTCTAAAGAGGTAAAATTACCTATTGTGCCACAAAAAATTCAGAATTATCCACAACAGTTATTTGCAGTGAAATAAGCCTTTTCTTTTATTTCTTTACTTTTTATCTTCTCTTTAGATCCTAACCTGGGACATTTGATGTAGAGTGTGTATGCATACAGTACACATGTCTGTAGTCCATTTTAGGAAGTAAAACAATTTTCCCTGCCTACCACTAGACCTAAGCTTGTCAGGCATGACTACATCATTAATGCCAGGCTTTCCTTCAACAAGAAAAAAAAACCTCACTTAGCATTTTCTATCATTTTGAATATGATAATGTGCAAACAAGGGAGGAAAACACTCTCTAAGGAGCTGCGTATAGATTGCCAGCGGTTACTCCAAGAAATGGAAATTCAATTTGAGAATAAATGATGATATCAGAAGTGTTAAACCAGAGACACATGAGGAGCTGAGATGGCACTTGGAATTTGAATTGCAAAAATCATCTCCAGCAGTTTTCTCTCTTTCAATGCTCAGTCAGTGAGACGGTGCCTGAAGCTGCACATGCGATGTATTGTCTTTTTACCTAAATAACGTGTCATCCACTCTGCACAGTGTAATTTTTCCTTTCATAGATTACACTTCATGCTAATAGATTTCGATTCCTAATGAAATGAAAAAAATATATATTTTGGTCATGTTTACATTTATTATAATTAGAGCAATAATAATAATTCAAACAGGTTATCACTAATAATACTATTATTTTGACTGTGTTGTCTTTACTCTGATTTCACTAAATATTTTTAATTTCCTTATGCTTGGTTTTGACCACATGGGGGTGCCAAAGCAATATCAAGGGCAAAGTACACAGACTCACACGCACACTCTCATGCACACTCTCAACTGTGTTGGAATTCATTGGCATTCTCTGTAGTTTTCACGCTTTGTTGCCTTTTTTACACAGTTTTACCTCATCTTTCTCCTCTGGTTCCCACAGATGACGTTCCGCTTCCCGACTGCCTGGCTCACCATGTTTGACGCAGTGCTCATCCTTATGCTGATTCCCCTTAAGGACAAAGTGGTGGACCCCATCTTGAAACGTCGCGGCCTGCTGCCCTCCTCTCTGAAGAGGATTGCAGTGGGGATGTTCTTTGTGATGTGGTCGGCTGTGGCGGCGGGTGAGTGCACTGGCAGACGCGTCCCCTCTGTGCTGTCACATAAGTAGGCCAGAAGAACTCAGGAAACAACAAAGTTAGCACTTGTTTGCCATGGTAATGCCACATGTAATCAATGCTCAAAAAGGCAACGAGCTATGAAGCTGCAGTTTCTCATCTACATAATCTTAATTTCAATCAAAAGAAACACCTCACCAACAAAAGCCAGCACAAATGTATCATGCTCTATGTGGAATACTATTGCTGAGGCATTTTTGATCTGCTCTTGGTTTGATTTAGAGGTATTTGGTGAATCTTTTTTCGATCTCTATCGTGTTGTTTTTCTATGGGAATTAGCACTGGGTATATGTTCCATACGTATTTATTGACACTGAATCATAACATCATTTTTAACCTGGCAAAGAGGGACCAGAGTTACATCTTTCTTCCTCGTCCTGACGAGCACAGGGGGAGCTGTGGCCTCTCACTTATTTGATCCTGAATGACTGCAGCCACATGCAGCAGTGCTGCTCAGTCCTATTTACTTCCAGCCTGTGGATTATTTTGAAAATAAAGTCTCATCCAGGCCTGTCAGTGGGTGCTGCTGCATTGATACATCCTGGCTAAAATGTTCTGAGAGAGACACAAGCCCAGAGGCACGAAGAAAGCAAATCAGTAACACTCCTTAGAATCAATGCACATTATATTTCCCACAACTACTGCCCTTTCTTCTTTCTCAGATGCACAATGCTTCTGCCACATATAATATGAACATGTTCTGTCATTAGTGACCTTTTAGATATTGGCTGGTTGGCCTCAACCAGATTGACAATTGATTGTAAAACATGAACTGAATCAAATTTTAAGTAATTGTGCAGGATCATAATTTTATTTATTAGTTTATTAAATATTTTGTTTGTACAAATTGAAATAATAATATATATATATATATAAATAGGAGGAACTAACAAATACACAGACATTCAACAGTTTAAATTACATTCATATATGTCATTTGAGAATAACAATGTCAGCTATAATTGACCTGTTGCCATAGGAATATTGCAAATGTGTGGTGATAGGGTAGCAGCCCCATAAATGCTACTGATTCCTCCCTGCACTATTAGATCACACTTACAGGGTATGTGTTGTGAGATTCAAAAACCTAAGATTGTCAATGTTATTAATGTCAAGTAAGCCATCAGCACTAACAGATTTGTGTATAAAAGTCCTCATCACATGGACGATATTATTTGACCATAGAAAGGAGTATCACATGTTTTTATATGTGGTGAAGGTCACTGATACTAGCAGGAATATGTAAATACAGGTGAATGGGATCTTATAGACTGAATGTGTAATATATATAATAAAGCAAATAATACTAAGCCTTTGTGAGGTGAGATTTTAGTTTACTGAACTCTCGTCCATATTTCTTACTTTATTCAAATGTAGTGAAGCAGAGATGAGAAAGTTTGTTGAGGCAGAGCAGTCAGATGGTGTAGTTACTAAAGCCTCACTTAGCCAATCTGAAACATCTTTTTCAATCAGTGTGATGTGGCAATGGGTCTATTAACCAAATCTGATGTGTCTATTTTTCTGTTTAGAGTAATGTTTTCTTTTCAGAGCACATTAGCAGTCCTAGAAGGAAAGGTGCTCTAACGTCGTTAGATGTTCAAAAGACATTCGGGTATTTACTTTTCCATTTGGCTCCATGAAAGAAAGTGCAATCCTTGCATTTGAATTCAAGCCAAATATATGCTTAATATTGCAGGAAGCAATTTTGAGTGCTGGGAGTGGGGAGAAAGGGTTTGAATGGTGCCGTGTTGTGGCCATTGGTCACAGATCAGGCGAATACACAACTAGTGTGTAACACAGTTCTGACCTGGATTTTAGGAGTGGAATCAGACGGCTGGATCCAATCGTACAGTAATATGCTCTGTGAGTTATTGAGATGCAGCGTTACTGAAATTGTATCTGCATCTTATTGTGACAATTATTCATCCAAGAATAATTTCCTGAGCCTGCGTGCTGTTTATCCTCAGTATTGCTTGCTTTACGTTATTCAGTCACAAACATTGACTCCAGGGAGCTGCCTTGAACTGTTATATATTTTTAGCTGGTTTTCTCTCAGCCAGATTTCCATATGTGCTCATCTGCATCTGTCCACTAGTTGATGGTTGTGAACGAACCAACTGTGGCATCCTCCTCCCACAGAATATCCACTCCATCACATTGCATCGTCAGCCTGCCACTCTGTGTCAACGATCTCGACCATACCACTGCTTTTCAGAGTTAGAATCACTTTCATCTGCATGTGCAACAATTGTGCCATGATAACACTGGTGCAGCGATATTTCACAGAATTTCATTGCACGCACTGTGTGACATGCGTGGCACGAGGACAGCTGGACCTCCCATACAGTGCAAAAGGACGTCTGAAGATATGCTGTCAAGCGGACAGTATGGACTGATTCTGATCCCCATTTCTTTTGTGTCCCAGACGTCAGACACACGCTGGGCCCAGCTCTCTGCTGACACTGCTTCTGAAGAAATGTGTTTTTTAGTATGTTTAAGCTCATTCTCTTAACTTCATGGTCCAACCTCCTTCAATGGCTCTAGGTGTCCAAAAGACTCTATTTTTTATTTTTTTTAATAAAGCTGTAGCAGAGTTGCCAGGGATCACACTGGTTTGTCTGATGTGTGATGTTTAGTATGGGAAATGAAAGCCGGGATATGTGTTTATAGTGAGAGACTAGCTCTGGGCAGCCCGGTGGCCTGAGATGGACGGCCACTATTATTGGCGAGTCGGATTACAAGGCTACAACTCCTCTCAAATACAGCATTAAGTGTGCTTATGATAGGAGACTGTTTCTGGGAGTTATCTGGAAATAGCCGCTGGTTACATGATAATGGCTATCGAATAAAGCTTTTCAGAGGCGGTAGGGGTTGATGACAACTGCTTCGCTCTTATTATTGAGCTGTCTGCACTCTTCCATTGCTAACTGCTGTAATATAGAAGCGTGCAGATGTGATCTTAATGAAGTGGTGGGGTAGCCTTAAAAAACAAGTTAAATCCTAAATGAAGTGTCACTGAATCCTGCAGCTCTGGGCGTGTTTAGCTGTTTGTTGGTGTCATGGACTTCACAGTGATAAATACTCTAACAACTGTTTCCTCATTCTGACTGAAATATACAAGCTTTTAAATTAACCCAATGCCCTGGTTACCCTTTGTCTTTAGTGTTTTCACAATGTTGCAGCCTTATACCTTACATATACGTGTACAGTTTTTTAAGGCAATTCTTTGTCCATGTTATTATTTTTTTTAATTCCTCTACGCTCAGCTAACCATTTATGTACATTGTTTTCTGTGTGTGTCCCCTCAGGTATTCTGGAGACCAAACGCCTGGAGATCGTCAAATCAAATGGTACCATTGACCAGGTGCTTGGCAACGTTATCTACTACGCTGCAGATTTACCCATATGGTGGCAAGTGCCTCAATATGTGCTGATAGGAATCAGCGAGATCTTTGCCAGCATTGCAGGTACAGTTGTTTCACGTCTCTTGTAAAATGTGCAGCTTGTAGAAGCTACCCCCTACGTCTACAATCAGGAAGACATGATGATTCAAACTAACAGGAAAATACACTACCCATCTGAACAGTGTGTGCTAAAAACAGACAGTGTCCAATCTTCCAAAGCAGAATGCAGTGAAGAGAACCTGGTCAAAAGGGTGAAATACACCCTTTTTGACCAGTTTGTTTGATTCATTGCCAGACTCCAGCAGCTTAATGTGTTTGTGGGTTGTATTTCAGAGTAAATAGTCCAAGATGGTGATCGATAATTGATTTTCTCGCACCACTGCAAGACATTGTTCAGTAATGGGACATTTTATAAATAAGGTGTGGATAAAGTAACCTTACAGTTGAAATGATGATGAAGCTGTGCACTTGCTTTGCCTTTGGCAGCCGCAGACTAGCATCACATTAGCCCTCTTCCTCTGCTCATTGTCCAAAAAGACAGAGTGGATAAGAAGATGGATAAATACACAGATATCTACTTAATGCTGCACCATCTGTCCCTGTGGGCGTAGTTGAAATTTCAACACGTCTAGCATCATAGTATAAACTTTTAACCCCTGTGTTCAGTCAGCTGGTGTAGTGTTGGACATTTACCATGAATGTAAAAATGTCCCAGCATATGGAATATTGTATGACAGTGTATGCCCTGCCCCCTCCACCACACAGTCGCACTGAAGAGATCATCAAAGATAAAATACAATTTGCATTGACATGACTATATATCCAATTAGCATGCTTACTCAGCTGTCACACTGTTCATAGGGACATATTACACTCGAAACAGAGAAAATAAAGGTATATCATCATTCAAGTTATTAAGATGCTGACAGTTACATTTGCATGTAGAGCAAAGAGGCAGGGAATGAGTCTTAAACATCCTCAAATGGTACACATGAACACTTTTCGAGGCATTATACTGTGGACAAATGACAGGAGAACCAAGGGCACAGTCCTTGGCTTCCTGCAACACTAACTGTGAAGTACAATTCCCCACTCTCTTGCACTGGGTGGGATGGATAAAATCAAAAACTTGGTAAAATAGCTGGTTCAGATTTTTTTTTTACTTGAGCAAACTTGGTGAATCAAATATCTGACAAATCAAAGCACTCTGTCACATTGAGGTAAAACTCCTCTTTATCCTATTAAATTAATACAGCAACATTTATTGCTTTCATGGTACAAAGGGAATTTCTGCAGGTTTAAAAATCTTTCACTGGGGAGCACAAAGGAAATTGATAAATCTCCAGAGAGGTATCAGGGTGGCAACCAAAGATCTAAAGGCACATGCCTCAAAACCTCAACATAATAAAACCAAACTATCTGCATTACAAACACTACTAGTATGGATCGTAACTTGCTGTAATGATCCCTTATAAAGGTTCTAAGCTTCGTAATAACGTCCATATTTATTATTTGTTCCCTTTAAAAGAAGGTGTCTACTTGGCTGAAATCCCTTGTGAACAGTTTCATCTTATATCTTCTGGTAGTAGATGGAGGAATTTCTTCGAAAAATGTATAACTCAAAGAGTTTTTCAGAAATACAGCACATGGACTAACTTCTCATAGTATGTCCTCAGCTCTGATTTTGCTTTCAGTTCAGTAAATATCATTCCAAGATGTCACCATTATCAATATGATAATATTTCAAAAAACAATAAAATTGAATCCAAGCAGGTCAGAAAGGTTCGTGCTGGAGCCGACAGCGGCCAACATCTTTTTGTTAATTTATTTTTATCAGCTGACAACCACTCCATAAAAGATGACTCTTGTTCCTTGTGAGCCTTGGCCTAAAGACGAATTCCCATTTCATTAAAAGCCATGAGGTAAGGACATTTTCCCCTGTAATACAATAATGTGACAAAGGTAGAAATTGTTGTAATGTTATATAATAATGTTATATCAAGTAGTGTCCATTAAATCTTAGACAAGCATGGGAACGACAGAAACAATATCCTCCTGTATGAAATGAGGGCAGCTTATGTCTGTGAGACATGTACTGCAATGTGGCAGCCGTGCATTATTTGTTTCTTACAGTATACTCTGGACAATGCATGCACAACAGAAATCTACTCTCTAATTGTGATTATCTGTCTGTCTGAATGTTTTTTTTCTTCTACAGTCATGATCACGCCCTCAGGCCTTAATTATCTTGTGATTTGAGTTTGTTAAGGCCACTGGCCATGATTGAGTCATTCTCCTATTAGTACAGATCATTTATGTTGTTGTTGGCTCTTCCATATAGTCCTAACTTAATTTCCACAATTAGAGTGAAGATTGAACCATTACCACTTTTTTTCTCACCACAGTGGAAGGATTATCTGGCTGATCCAGTTACTGCTGGTTTTTATGCAAGAGTGAACATTTGTCATCTTTTAGTATAAAATCCACAGATCCTAAGATGTGTTTATCAATAATTTGATAATATTTAATAAAGCCCTTGAGCAGAATTGTGAACTCTGGACAAATCTGTCAGGGTCCCTATGAAAGTAAAATCCAGACATAACAAAGCTATAGGGATCCTTAAAATAAACTTAGCCTCCTCTCTCCCTGCATACCATCCCACTGGGTTTACTTCAAAGGAAATTGGCTGACAGAATTGTGACATACAGTACGTCTGGTTAAGAGGAATATTTCCCCTTAGACTTCTGTTGGAATAAATTGGTTTAAAACTTCAGGTGCCATCAAACTTCCTCGCTGCAGTCCCCAGTCTTATAGGACGTAATGTAATTCTCTGCACACAAACCACCCAGGTCTTTCTCCTCTTGGGCAATAAGAATATGCAAAAACTTTTGCAACATCATTCCCTACAGTATTTTAAATTATGATTTGCAAAATGTTAAAGGCTAATGTTGTTTTCTAAGAAAGAAAAATCACACCTTTAACAATGCCTATAGGAGGAAAACAATTATATATACATTTTAATTTCCATGCCCTCCCTTCTATGTCTGTTTCCTCAAATAATTCTGCGTTTTGGTGGAGAAAGGTCAAGCTGTTTGTTCTGCGGTGTGGTGAAAGACGTGGAAATCACTGATTGTATCACAGACAGACAGGAGCTGGATTTAACATAATGCTACAATTCTGCATGGTTTCCTTTGCTCTTTGACAGAGCTGTATCTGCAAACCCTCATCAACCTTTGCTGTCCCCTGTGATGTGCGTAGCTATTGACAAGTGTTTGTTGCTATCAGAAGGTTAGCTCGGGATATAAACAAATGTATTGTTGTGAACTCTGTAAAGGTCATTCTAGTTTTCCACTGAGTTTACATTATTTTTGGCTTTGCTTTTATCTCATTCCTTTTCAGATGTAGATTTTTTTTTTTTTTCTGCGTGGCTAGCGCAGGTATCTGTCAGGAAACTATTCGTCACACTAATTTGTGCAATGTCCTTCTACCAGGAAGGTCTTGAAACATATTTAACTGTAGCTCCCTAATCTCTCCTGACAGTTGTAGCTATAGGGCCTCATTTGAAAAAATCTCATGTTTGAGGTGCCATGAAATTATCAATGTCAGCTTGCAGGCTGACAGATCTTAGGGCAAAAAAAAGACAGATCTGATGTTTTTTCTATTTCACTCCACAGCTTCTTTTCTCTACGGTCCTTTGCCCATTTTCTTGGTTTTGTACTTCTTTAATGACATACTGAATACTGACTGATGATGCTGAGTGTTATGCTCTCCTGTTTTACTGTGCGCCACATATGCAACAGAGACCAGTGGAAAATAAGTTCCCATGCAGCCTTTCAGTCTCTTATACACCACCATACCAAAAGCAAATCAGTCTCTGTCACAAGAACTGATTTATGCATGCATACCTCATATGTTCCACTATCACAGACAGGAACTTGGCAGTATGAGTTCTGCTTAGTATATAGATAAATGGCATGTCACACTATCACTGGCTGCAGCATGGGAAACCTTCTGCTGCAGGTCACAGCATGTAAAGTGTAAAGTGTTCTTCACTTGTTTACTGTAAATCCTAAACTTCCTCGACAATTAAATAAATATCTGATAATATAATAATTCAAAAAATGTCCTCTCTTTGTCTCACAGGTCTGGAGTTTGCCTATTCCGCAGCCCCCAAGTCCATGCAGAGTGCCATCATGGGGCTCTTTTTCTTCTTCTCTGGGATTGGCTCCTTTGTGGGCTACGGCCTGTTGGCTATTGTCTCCCTTAAAGAGATTGGCTGGATGTCATCCCACAAAGACTTTGGTAAGACATTCAATAACTTATCACATGTTTCTGCAGGTGGAAAATTTAACAAACCTAAGTAAAAGTAAAAGCAGTGGAGGGTTGATGCATAACTTGCACATGTATTGTATATGGGCCGTTGTACAGTATATACACCATATATACTTTATTTGTCTCACCACAGTTTCATAACGACAGAAAAATACAAATGACCCACAGCAGCACTGGGAGGAATTCCGCCTGTCTCAATGGCCTGTTAAAACATTCATAAAGTTTTTACCATCCTTTGCAAAATTCCACCTATTCAGCTTGAAGTAGATTCTGGTTTCACTGTGCGCATTCATGCGATGCGATACTGTTCTCAGCAGGCAGGCTGACCTCAGGTTAACAATGGCTTTGCTTTGTAAGTGCTTTTTATGTTTGCCCCCTCCCCAATCTGGACATATCCTCCTTAGTAATATTCCCACCAAGATTGGTGAAAAATCCATCCTTCTTTGCTTATTTTGTACACAACGACAATTGTGAAAACAATACTCTGCTCCCCTGGATGGATGACAAAGGACCATGTTCCTCTATAATGTGAAAGTGGTAATTCAGAGTAATAGTATGATCATCAATTATCTGCCCTCCTCTAAACTAGACAGAGCATTTTAGCTTCTCGCAGTTCACTGGTTTGGTTTTCGAGAACTTAAATTTTTTGGTTTAGGTTTTGTTCGCATTTGTTCCTATATATCAGCCATGGCTAAAAACAGTTGGCAGGAATCACATCACACTACCTGCAGACAGACATAGTTAGGGGCTAGCTAGTGAACATAGCAGAGCATTTCACCACTACAAAGCCAGTGGTTTCCCCTTAGGGGCCTAAAATAGAGGGCCAAAAAATTAAATGTATACTGGACCTATACCCATCAGGCAGTGCGTCTGCTCTGCAGTCGTGACGTTGATCTGAAACAAGCAATGTGAGACTCCACTGTGTGAGTAATTGATCCTGTGGTTGTCTGAAATACATGATGGTGATAATGATATTGGCCAGCTTTGAACTTACTTATTACTTGACTGAATATATGGACTTGTGATCAAATTGTTGTTCGATCACATTGATTAAAATGCAGATGTGTATTTTCCAGGGACATACCTGTGGACTGTTCATAGCTGGTGCTGATTGAGTGTGTTTCCTATAGTGTAAAAAAAAGAATAGAAATGTCAGACAACAAAAAGGTTTGTATAAATCTGTCCACGTGGTAGAATGAATAGTGCGGTGGTGGCAGCAGATGGATGGGCTTTCCAGCAAGAGGAGCCTCCCAACACAGATGCACTTTTCCCTGAGCATGCGGTTAATAAGCCAACACTGTAAATTGTTTACCCACAAACCCCTAATAGCTAATTAATGTGTCCCGACAGGTAGTGGAGGGTGGGGGGTGCTTTTGATGATGTTAGCACTGGAAGATGCTTGGCATGCTGCAGAAATCCATCCTTTGCCTTGCTTCACTTGAAGGACAGTTAAACTAGAGCTGGATTGCCTGTAAGACTCCCTTTTTCGCTTTAGAAAACAAGTCATTTAAAAGGTGAGCTGTGGAAATGGAACAAAACATCCTCCTGGCCACTGATAAAAGACACATGGCACAAAGCTTCGGCATTAAGTGCAGTCAGGAATCACGCAGTTTGTTTCCGTGGCTGTTTTTCACTGTTTGTTGGATGTTGGCTTCTTCCACGTCTCATGCCTGTCTAGGTGGAAGGGATTCAACTTATTTCCATTGCTGCGGGCAGAATGGTGTGCAGTAAACAGCATCTTGGGTGAGCTGTGCTGAGTTGCAGTGCAGGCCTGAAGACAGATGAGCAGCATTAATCACAGGCTGGGGGTCTGATTGCATAGCCCTGCTCCTCTTAAGTAAAGCTGTCCCTGGAGCATTACATGGAGATGCCACTGCTGGTCTGGCATCACGCTGGTGGATGCTCAGCTCTCTGCTGTCGAGCTCTAGCTTCATTTTCCCTCACTGTGAATAAAATAATTTTAGTCAGCATAGATAAAGTGTCACAATAAGAGTCTGTCCTTTGCTACTATATTATCTGCTGCTTTGGAAGCTAGAGACATTCAAGGCTCATATTCTGCAAGAAGGGAAGGAAAAATCATTCAGATGACTGCACCCATAACGCCACTGTCTTTTTTTTTAGTAGTTGATTATTCAGTAGAGATTTAATCTATTAGAACTATTCATGTTCTGCATTCTCTTAAGAAACCAAGGTGATGCAAGTGATGTTAATAAAGAAGGAAACAGTGACTACAGTCATACACTGTGATTGACTGTACCTGTGACTAACAGGAACATGCGTGTATGCTTACTGGCCCCTCCCTCCTATGTCATCAGTTTGAACATAGTGAGATAGTACATAAGCAAAATAATTGACTTGAACGGCTTCTTCATTTGAAATACAGAATGTTTGCAGTTCATCACTCGACTCACTTTCATTGACAAAACTGTAGCAATTGGCAAAAAGAAAATTGACAAGTTCTCTTCTTCCACTTTTGAACTGGACAAAACCTGAGCTTTTAAATTTGTGATGGCCATTGTTCGGATTCTGGCTTCTGGCATTTTATGGAAGACAAATGTTTTTTGAATCAATTGATAGGAAGAATAGTTGTTGTGTCAAGATTTCAATTTGCTTGGTTTTAGTTTTCCATTCCTTCTACTTTTCTACTTTTGCATGAATTTCCTTGTTCTGTAATACCTCTACACTTTGAGTGTGTTTAGTGTGTTTTCATCACAGTCAGTGTGTATTTGTTGAATATGAACCCCAGACACAAATACATTTTTCTCAAGGTTGCAAATAAATGCAACCTGGACATATATATGAAAAAACCTAATGTAAAAACAACTTCATTAGTTTCTTGTGACATATTCATACTCATGTTTGTGACCTTTCAAAAAACACAGACATAACATGACTCAAAAACAGGCCACTTTCTGAGAGTCCTCTCAATTGAGTGTCCAAATAGGAATGACTTTACCAGATAACATGTGGGGTTGAATGACCATAAATGTGACTGAAAGCTTATGGCTGCAGTCTGCAGAGCTGTGGTGAAAACGGTCATACTATATTTCAGCCACATCTGGTTTGAAACTTAAAATGCTGAGCTTATGTGTTGAAATTATTGATCTTTAAAATCCCACAGCACATCCCCCCTCCCCCAGCTGCATCTGGAGGAGCAGTCATTCATCATGCTCTTTTATTTCGTATCTTTATAAGGCTGCATGACCTCGAAGCATCTCATCCTCCTCTGTCAAATATCAAACCTGCACTTTCTTCACCAGCATTATCCTTTACACACAAGGAGGCTTTTATTCCAGAAAATGTCTCTTTGTTGTATTTAATATGTTCCACCTTTGTGCTGGGGGGGGTTATTCACTCAAAGTGAATGGGTGTTTTTGGAAGCCACTCTGGTCACATGACAGGAAATGGCCTTTTCTTTGAGGTGTTAAAGTCCTGACTGGTCTTATATCAAATGTCTAGGACGTGTCCAGACGTTCAGAGTGAGATGACATTCGCACATCCGGCTCATGAAGTGTTCACACTCAGTGAAACGTTTTTATGGTGGTATATTTTTATGTGTCTTAGAGGAAGACATTCATGACACATCTGTCAAATTCAACATGAACTCTTTTTCTCTCTGATACGGATGTCGTGATTTATTAATTTATCTAGTAGACAGAGGCAACTGAGAGCACATGAACATCACATGTTGTGGTTAGCTACAAAACTCAAAACAGCGTCAGTCGTAACGGTTTTACGGCTGACGCCTGGCGGGCTGCAGAAAATAACTATATTTCCAGCTGAAACAAACAAGACTTGATTCCCTCTGGTTTCATTCGGAGCCTGAGGATGGCACTGAAAGCACCGAAGCATTAAAATGTTGGGTCATTCCACTGAAGGTCTGGATCAATCGATCCATTTTTAAACGTTAAATTGATATTGACCTGTTTCATCTGGACTCACATGGAATGCTCAAACCTACTCGCAGGTAAAATGTCTCGTGAGTTTATATAACTCAGATAATAGATGGCTGACCTTCTGTGGGGGAATCCAGGGTATTCACAGTCACGCTCATATTTGCTAACTCATAGCTGTGTAACAGGACCTCTGGGCAAACGAGTGGAAACCTCTTACTCAACTTTTGTTCTTGAAATTGTTTGAACTATAGAGCGTGGAACAGGAAATGTCCAACTTTTAGAAAGGCTCTGGTTCCATAAGTAAATTTCCCATTCATTTTCTCGCTTTGACGTTTCAGAAAATCCTTATGAAAGACTTTATAGTCTGAAACCAGGCTGAGCAGCTACAAGATAAATCGTGACCTTAAAAAATTTGATTCAGAGCAAAATATCCTGGAAAAAGGAAGAAAAGGCAAAAATCAAAGACTGTGCGCATAATTAGAAGACTGAAGGAACTACGCAGCCCATAAACTATTGTGAATGATTCATTTCAAACAGTTTCCTGCATGCTTCTACTAAAATTTGACTTTGTTAATAAAGTGCTACAGTATATGCCCTGTCCCAAGTCCTCTCTCCCTTGGCCCTACCCCTAGATACGAAGTGCCCTTTGCTGGGAGTGTCCCCTCCAAACAACTCGCTACGTCATCAGCAGCTGACCAACATTATTATATGACAGACAATATCAACTAACGTTATAACCTTACAACCGTTATCAACCAACATTATGATAGTGACACATCTGACAATTCTAGGGCTAAGGTGTGAATTAGGACAGGGCATTAGTGTCTTGTATGTCTCTAGAATTTCATATATTGTAGTTACCTATCTTAGTAACACAGAATCATCATCGTGCAGTCCTTCACATTCTCAAAACATATTTTTCTTAAAACACAGTTGATCTCATATGAGCACATAACACTGTTTCACAATCTCCTAGCTTGTGGTGAGTCTACCTTGGATGGTTTCAACACTATGGCTGATAATCAAAATCTCTTATGAAAAAATAAATGGGATTTTTACTTCTGGAAACACACTGTTGAGCTCTATATCCTCTCTCGCTCAGAATTTGTCGAATATTTATGACTCTACTCTATATCTTTTTTTTTTACACCAATTCCTTGTTTAGTCTTTTGCTGCTGTAATTAGCCTTCCTTCCATATTTTCCGAAAGTGCTTAGCAGCCGATTGAGCCCTGGGGGGCCGAGGCTGAGAGGAGGAGGTAGAGCCTCACTTAATGTTTAATGAAATTAGAACAAGACGCCTCAAAAAAGTGAAACCTTGCACAATTTCCAGGACTGTTTCAATAATTGGATGGTACTTTTTATTTTGCCACGGCCCCTTTTTTCATTTCTTGTGTGCTAGTTAAGACAGAAGTTTGGAAATCTAGAACAAAGGTGGAGATCCAGTCATCAGCCAGAATTTTTTACATGCTCGTGTTGACATTGAGTACCTGCCCAGGAGAGCACTCTTGAATATGTTCCTTCATTTTATTTTCATACTCATATTGTCAAAGCTCAGGATATTGCTGCTGATGTCCACACACACACACACACACACACACACACACACACACACACACACACACATTCCCTCTGCATGATTTTTATGCTATATTCCTTAAATTTTGAAAGCGGTACCGCTCTGTTAATTAAGACTGCAGCAGCTCTCGACTCTCGGTGTACTATCTGTTAAAGTGAATTATCGATTGAAAATTCAAGCACCCCCTCAGCACAGACACGCTTTTCCTATGCTCTTCCTGTCAAGCACATTGTTGTGCGCTTCATGAATTATTCAAACACCGCTTTGGTTTTTGATCTGTCACAGTTTAAACCTGAGACCAGATTAAGATGACAACAAAATAAATTAAAACTGCGACGGGGGTCAAAGTGTTTGTTAGGTTTTTCCATTTGCCACTCATTTCATTAATGCTCTGGCAGAACTTCAGAGTCAGCAGACGGCTCTCTGTTCCTAGATCAAAGGTTTCACGCAATAGAGACGGCCCAGTGCACAGTGCATCGACAAAGAATCTCTCCCGTGTGATGCACCCTATCATCACCGTGTTTCTTTATTCCCCTCGATTTGTAATTATCCACAGAAGCATGCACACAACAGAGACACTGGGAGAAGATATATCTGCATGCACGATACGCATGGTGACATTATAGAGTTTGATCTGCTCTACTGATCGCAAGTGATTGTGCTCGTCACCGGGATCACTTGTTTCAAATTAGTAAAGCCTGCTCTTTGATTAGTAGCCAGGGACGCCCTGTTAAATCACAGGAAAATGAAGGTTTCTGTGCTAGCCGAGGATACGTTGAGACACAACAGGATGTATCTTAATGGCTTTGGTAATCTTCTTACTTTTCCTCCTCCGGCCAGTCAAAATGTGTTCATGCTTTGTTTTTGTTTGCCTTTAATAATTTAGAACTGTTGCATTGTAAATGCAAAAGTACATGGATGCCTCTTAGTAAGGTTCATACCTCCGCCAAGGCCCAACACTGCCCTTATAAAACCATATTTAAATCCACTAGATCTGGATTTGTACTTGGATCTGCACCAAATTGCACACACTTATAATATCGGTCGCCCATCTGAAGGCAGCAGGACACATATGTTGTTAAATCTGCAGCATCCAATTAGAGCAGTGCTGTGCCAGAGCGCAGCGGCATTACACGTGGACACCGCTGTGCTTACCTAGATAAAATCACATCAGGCTGCTACACTGCCACACCTTCACACACGAGACGGGTCAATTCTCTCTCTTATAACTGCCACTCTGCCGCTGACGGCATATTTTCCAACATTTAAGAAGATCATCAGCCCATGTTGTTTTCTTCACAGCCATCTCGAATCGAATGCTGCTGCCCTGCCTCACATTTAATATTTTTTTAATTATTAGTCATTTGTTTCTATTATCGCTGTACTAATGAGTTTAATAAAAGGCATCTGCCACTGCCTGCACAAAACCTGCTCTAAATCATCCAGATGACAATATAAAAGCTTCTTTTCATTCATTAAGCTGCTGTTGTCATGCGTAACTATCATTGACGCAGCAGTTTCATGGTTACAAATGTTCCTGCATACCTGCATCACATGAACACAAGTGGTTTAATAAAGTAAAACATGTAAAATAACGTGAAATAAATAGAAAAATCTTTAGACATCTTGTATAAGTCCATAAGCACCATCTTGACCCAGGAAGCTGTTCACTTAAAACTGACAGGCGTAATTAGACCACACTCCTGTATACACACTCTGCACACACCCTGCCACGTGAACAGGCAGAACATGGATTCAGAATTTCTCCCAATACTAATTAAAATCATGCCTGCCGCTCGTTCTCTGACTCTTTAATGCTGTGACAGTTCCACATTGAGAGGCTAATGGGAGCTCTTTGAGAAGACCGCAGATCGCTCCTCAAATATACTCATATGATGAAATAAGATATGGGTATATGGTGAAGCTGTGTATGAAAATTGAATCTTATCCAAAAAATAAACATTTAAATGTGCTGTATAATCACTTAAATGTGCTGTAGCAGGAAAAAATGAAAAACAAAAATCCTGCTCGGCCTACAGCTCACCCCAAAATGTTTCCCTCTCCAGTAAAGTAGTAAACAGCCGACTCTCACGCTGCTGGCTACAAAGTCAATTGGTCTGGCTGCCATGGTCAAGAGGACAAAAGCCGCTCTAATGCCAATCCAATTGTCTCCATACTTGTACAGTGGAGACAATTGTATTTTAGTGAGCTTTGCACTTCCTGTAAAACCCCAGCAAGGCGAAAACAGGATTTATTTAGAGCGTTCCTCTTGAGCTTTGTTTTTGAATGAGGACAACCACTTCAATCAACTGGGCAGCAAATGTTAAGACAATTAGAATTTACAGATTACTGGTTGAATCCTCCAGAACCGGGCTGGAAAAAATTGTTTGGGAACGTAAACAAATAGCGTCGTTTTTTAAATTACTGAAACTTACTGTTCAGCGTGTGCTCAGCTCTGTGTTTCCACAAGTCACATTTCAGTCCCAACAAGTCACAGTGCGAGCATCACTTTATTTTTTCCTTCTTTTTGTATTTGTACTCAAGTCCCAGGAGGAAACAAGCAGTCCTTTAATACCGATGAAAGACTCCCTGGGTCAAATCACAGCCGAGGGTTCGTATTAGTCTGTTATTTATGAGACTCCAGTCCCACATCACCAATGTCGCCTTTCTGTGTCAGCGGCGAAGCATGGGGTCAACTGTCTCTCACAGCATTGAGATGAGAAGTAGCGAATGATCCTGCTGCCCCCTCTGAATATGTCTTGACTCACTGTTATCTTCTTCACATTTGCATATTTTTGTCATTTTGCCGCAGTTTGCAAAGCAAAAAAAGTTTTAAGTGACAGTTGAATTCCAGTGTCGCTGAGGCTCTGTATCCTGTTATATAAAACGATAACACCCTGGTTTTCTCTCTTCCAGGTAATATCAACGACTGCTCTCTGCACTACTACTTCTTCCTCCTGGCAGGCATCCAGGGCTTAACCTTGCTGGTCTTCCTTATTGTCTCTGTCAAGTATGACAAGCAGAGGGGCAGAGCGGGAAGCCAAAGGCAGAGACACACCTCCTCATGACCCCAACACCTGCCCCGTTGTCCTCCCTCACCATACCTGCCTTCTCCTGTCAAATCACCCAGTGCACAAAGACCCTGTCAAATGGTTTCTTTACTAATCACATCCTACAGAAGCTTGGGTTACCTCACACGTGATTCTGTCATGACTATGTTTATTATTTATGTTGGTTTTAGCTTTTATTTGGAAATTCTCTTTCCTTCTTACAACCACAATGGTTTTACAACACTGGGTGAACGCACAGCTTAAGGCAGAAGCCATGTTTGAATCGTTCCCTAAACACCCATGTCTTTACTCCTGTTGCCTTTCTGTGATCATTTGCACTTGACTTGAGAAGTGGTTCCATAAAAAATGCGACATGTTGTTTTCTAATCATGAAGGATGTTTTATAGATATATAGACTTTTACTTTGTGTTTTCTAACAAAATCTTATTTTTTGACTAACTCTCTAAATCGTCATTTTACCAATCCTGGTGTGATACATGTATTTAGTCAAACCGACCCTGCAGTGGTTTCTGAATGTGCAGTGCAAATGTGAAACTGGGGTATTGGATGCATTAAATGTACATGAATCATTTAGAGTCTAAATGATGCATAGGTATTAAAGGTCTAAATTTTAGACCTTTAATACCTATGCATAGTTGTCATCACATTGAATGGGGAATTGTAATCTAGAGGCTAATTTTATGTTTTAGTGTTGTTACAGGTTTTCAGAAATGATGGCTATAACTATAGAGGCAGAAAAGGGTTTATGTTTGAATAAACACAGTTAGATTTGTTTCAATAATCTAAAACTTAAATCTAATATTGAGAAATAATTAAAATGTGTGATTGCACTCTGTGTAGTCCACATAAGCCCATCCTATAAATCTGCAATTAATCTTAAAACAGCACTGTACATGACTAAAGATATAACTCCTTGTGGTAAAAATACTCCATTACTCCTGTGAGGCTTCACAGAAGTTTTTAATTTCTGGTCAAACTGAAAAATCAGCAGAACTAATTACAAAGTAACCTTTAACATTGAGTGTAGCTCTGAAGATTTCTGTGGCATTAATGCTTGGAGTGAAGTATTAGTTGTTTAAAACATAACCCATTATTTCTGTTTTGTGCTTTTCATTCAAAATAATAATAATTACTTTCAGGTACCTTTTACAGTGTTATCAGCTTTGCCAGAAAAAAGCTGGCAAAGCTTCTGATTGGTCGATGTATTTATGAGACTGTGATACATTTGTATTGGCTTTATACTGTTAAGAATAATGTTAGTGTGTGGATCTTTTCCTCAGAACAAGTAGAGCACAAGGTACTGAATTTACTCTCAGGGCTTGAGGAATAGTGTCATTTGACATGACTGTCCAGGAAATGTAAAAGTGGCTTTGAAGCAAGTGGAGGAGTGGTTAGCCCATGATGTCAGTTACATTTGTAACACAGCACATTAAAAGACGAAGCTATGTCTCTGATGGTATGTAATACCTTTTAGAGCGATTTTAATTTGTGTTTAATTGGTTGGAGAAATGGATGTTCCTCGTTTTATTGCATATTTTATACACATACTTGCTTCATCATCTTAAAAACATCTATTAAGTTTATTTTGGATTTTCATTGTGTTTCATGATGCTGTAAAACTGGATTATAGTTTCTGTGGTTATGTTTGCTGCTAATAAAGTATATTGAATTGAGAATTGGTTTTCAACCTTTGGCTCAATAAAAAAATGACTTTTAAGGCTAGGTCAGACATTGCTTAGTGGTTTCACAACCACAATTGTGGTTGTTTAAAAAAAACAGGCTATATCTAATTTTTGCTTTCACGCCAAAACTACTTTGTTTTTAGTTGTGCAATCTGAAATTGTATTTATGACTGACAAGTGCTTAGTTTCCTTTTATTGACAAAAGCCTAACTCCTGTATTCACAATGATGTAAATATCATACATTTTACACATTAATAATTTACAAACTGAGCAGTAAGGCAACCCTTTTATTTATATTTGTACCAGACATTGTGTTCTTAAAGCGCAACATGATTAGAAACATATTATATATTTTCATTGCTCCCAAGGAAAACTCAAAGTCGAGGGTTTCAATTATTCATATATATATTTTAAAAAAACACCCTATGACAGTCTGCTGCAAACACACATGGATAAAGCCTCATTTGAAATTCCCACTGGGAGAAGCAGTGGATTTCCTCTGAGTTTCATCAGACAAGGATTGAAATCAACTTGTCATCACAGATTTTTTTCTTTTTTAATGTTAAGGCCTTCCAGCCATGAGGCACGCAAAGGGCCACTTCCTGTTTAATTTGGTCAGAGAGCTCACATAACCGTGACTGAGCAGACAGCTTGATGTTTGAAACCAACACAATGCCTCCGGGTCATAATTCTAGTGTGGCGGCTTGTTTCTCATGTTGAGAGGGATTTCTGACACATCCAAGTGGTTATGGAGGCTGAATTGCAGGGCAATAACACTGAGATATATAGTTTTGTACTGGCCTTCCAATATTTCTAAGGTGATATATTGGCCAGGATCTAAGCAAACAGCAGATCCTTGGAGAGAACGCTTCCTGCATAAATGTATACCTGTTAGTGTTTTATCTTTTCTCCTTTTTCGAGCACAGCCTCATAGCCGAGGTAATGCATGACCTCAAAGGTGTAAAGAGTTTTCAATTTTAATAGAATAAACTTTGAAACTAACTTTCCTGTTTTCTCATTAGGGTTAGGTGTGGTAATGTTGGTCTGTTGGAACATCTCATTGGTTTAGACAGAAAAATCTGCTGGATAAATTTCCACAAATTGTTTTGCTATCATGATTCATGATTTCCATGAATCATCCAATAACATTTTCACCAGCACCATTAGAGGTGGAGTTTTAACTATCCTTTAACGCATCAATACATCAGGTGGATGCATTGGCAAATCTAGAACTTTTCCAAATCAGGGGGCCACATAAAGGGGCCAGAGTTATATGTACAACATCTTTAAAGAATTCCTGATTCAGTCATTACTGTTAGTTCTACAGCTCTGAGCAAAGCCACACATCATTGAAAGAATTAATACTAAAAAATGATCATGTTTATTGTTTTTTATTGTGAGTAAATTACTAGTTTATATGACAAAATAAGACTACTGGCAGGTAAGGGGCATTTCAGGGGCCAATCAGATCCTAACTCAGGATCTTTTTGGATGGAGTGGGGCTGTGTCATTCGTTTATTTGGACAGTGATTCGTGGTTTCCTAATGATTTTGGTTTTCTTTTGACTTCTGCCATCATAACGTCTAAAAATGATTGAAATGCATTTAGCTCAGAGCACTGATGTGCCTCAGTACCACCTCACAGGCATTGGACGGGGGGTGCAGCAAATCTCCTGGCCAGAGGCTGTAACTGCAAGGCAAAATAAGTTTACTAAAGAAATGAATAAACTTGACTGTAATTGCATTTTAGAATGGTAGCAGGCCTGACAGCCAAACAATAACTAATACAAAATAAAGTTGCAGTTTCAGTCAGTAAGTTTACTTTTACTTACATTAAATTACATTTACTTTCTTAAATAATTGTATTAGCTTAGAATTAACAAAAAAAGAAGTTGGTGTGTATATGTCCTTGAGTAAGGCTGTTATCCATCCTCCACGTCAAACGATTTTGTCTATTACCCGTCCAATCTAAATTACTTTCCGTGGGCATGTGGCAGTTGAACATAATCCACAGAATGTTAAGCTGCTTTTAATTGTATTACAGTCTTACCTGTGTAATGAGCAACCGGGAGACGCTCCCTAAGATGTTGCTGCAGTAATTGGAGGATTAGGAGGTATCATCACATGTTAATTAAGATAAGCTAATGCAGATACAATGTTTAAGAGAATGGCCAAGCAGACAAATCGCCCATCCCTACATACTAATCACTGGCATTTACATAGACCTAATTATCCTATCTGAGCTGTCTTTGTTCCTCGGCCTCCTGGAGCTTGTTCTGCAATACACGGGACGGTGTTTGGACAAGAGACAAGTTGTTTAACTCAGGGTTGATCTGTTAATAACATGCTACACCAATGAAGTCTCTCTGAGGATATGAGCTATGGAAAGAAAAACACATGTCGGGCCTCTCACGATCTCTTGTTCCAGAAAATGTGCTGTCTCGTCATTTGAAATATTGTGTTCTGCGGGGCTGTTGGCACAGCGGCGGGTTAAGGCTGTTCACTCAGACAGATGATCTGTGAAATAAGCAACCGTAAAATGCTTTAACAGTGTACATCTATCCGGATTTATGGCATCAACCTTAGTTATTATGTGCAGGACCCGTGGTTTAGAGCATCTTATTTGTTCAGAATGGGGCTTGACTCTCATATAACAGTACGGGTATCAAGATAAATCTTGCTCAGCCACAGTGAGCAGGACCATTCGTGCCAGGTGTATCGTGGTAGCCCTCTGACCTTCTATTGTTTTCCAGCAGATAGAAAAATGCCCTGACCTGTCTGAGTGCAGTGGCTGATAGGTTGCTCCCCTGTGTCCACTAGTCCTCCTGAGCCGATTTATCTAAATGACATGGTTGGGTACTCACCTAGTGTTTGCAAAGGGACTTCGCTATTGTATTTGTTTAATACATTTCAGTTTGTGAGTCATCGCTGATCTTTTTTGCAGTGCATCCGTTTATGCTGTTGTGTGTGAGTTTGTGTTTATATCATTAGCACCTTAGTGCTACCCTGCCACTGACAAGGTAGGAAAGTCAAAAAATGCTATGAAATTGATTAGTAATATTATATTTTGATGTTTTCATGGGATTTATAGTCGATATAAGTATAGACTAAAACCAGTTTATCTTGTAAGGTAAGAAGTTGGTGAGAGCCGTGAGGATATGGAGACAAATAACTGTGTGTGGGGGGGTGTTTGCAGGTGCATGTGTGTTCTGCACAGCTGGAAGATTGCGTTTACAAGACATAGATTTGGCACAAGGGTTTTTTTTCTGAACAGTATTGTCTTTTGAGCTCCACGGCTCCGTCTGTAGAAATGGCTAAAACGAGAAAGTCAAGCTGACCTTGTCCGCTGCTCTTTCGTTCCTCTGCAGCCGCGTGTTTGTGCATGATTAGTTGCTGT